AATCTTTTTTATAGACCTCTCTCCAGTATGAACTAGCCTCATCCCCAAATGCTAATTTTTATTATTTTTAAAAAATACGAGAAAATAAACAAAAATGGTAAAAAATCGATTTTTCTTCAAACAGTTGCCATTTTGTCAAATTTTGGGGAAGGGTGCCGCCTTTTACTAGTTCATCGACTTTGCAGTTTCCAGCAAATTTCGCTATGACCATGTACAAAAATGAGTCTGATAATAGATTAACTTGATGCTATTAGATAGTGTGGACAGATAGTTCAACGATTTTCAATGTTTTTGTTCCAATTTTAAAACATACAGTATTCCAATAAAGTCTTCGTACAGCAACTAATATATTGATAAAAATTAGCAACGACGGCGTTAAGGCGGTCTGGCATTGATTCCACAAGCTTTTGGGTACATTTTACATCAATTTTCATCCACTCCTCTTGAAGAACCGAGTTTTTTTAAACTAATATGATGATCCCTGATCCGTTTCTCGAGCAAGTTCTAAATATTCTCAATTGGATTAAGATCAGGACTTTGTGGCGGTGGCTCCAGCAAATGTGGGGCATTGTACACCAAGTACAATACATCCTTGTGTTATGAGCCATGCAGACATGCCCAATTTTTCTACACTAGCCTTCAGATTTTGTTTCTAGAGCTCAAAACTGCCTTAGCCCCTTAAAAAAGTTTAAGTCGTAGTAGTAGTAGTAGTAGAAGGTAGTATTTTGATTTGTGGTGAGAATCCGGGCATATTTTGCAAACTTTTCTTTTACAATTTATCCATTAAAATACCGATTATAGAGTGTGCTAACTTGTTTCATATTTAGGCTACAGACAGTTGGACGTGTTGCGAATTTACGTAGGCCAGTTGTTGCGTCCAACTATTAAAACCATTTTATAACTTATTTAGCACTTCATTAAGAAACTTTTGTGATTATGTCGATTTTTGGTAAAATCTAAAGATTAAAACAAATTCACTTAACAATCGAATAGTTGTAAATATTCTAAAGCTTTCAAGCAGATGGAGAGCCCAAGTACGGATTTGAGGTATTTTGCTGTAGGGACAGATCTTAAATATGTATTCGGGTGGGTATATGTATGTAAATCTAGGTCCGTACCGATTCAGGTGATACAGACTCAACTATACGGTAATAAATATATAAAGAAGAGTATTCTATTCAACGGAATATCCAGGTCTGAAAATTTTTTTTCTCCAAATTTTAAGATATTTTAATTTTTTAAGTCTTTGTTATGAATACTGAGCAATTGAGCATCTATATAAAATAGCAGACGGACTAATCAAGGAAGTTTCTACTATCTATTTCAATGATTATATTTTATGATCGCTACAGAAGGTTTCACTACACATCATGTCCTTGTCCATATTGCGCATTACAATACTTTAGTTGCCAGTAAAAATTGTAAAATGTGTCCGTGTATTTGTATTTGTTTCGAACTCACGAAATATACTTACATACATATGTATATATCTATAAAGAGAATATAACGCTTTAAAAACAACACTAGAAAGATTCAACCAACTCATCTTAATTATTAATGCACAACGAATTGATTGCACACCATATAAAAAGCTTGCAATATCTTGTTGTAGCGTTCCAGATATAGAACATCATTTCCTTTCCTTTTATTGTATGAAAACTGCAGTAAATTCGTTTCTACTCTTTAACATGCATACAATAATAAATAAAAGCACATGTAGACACAATAATGTGGACTGCAAGCAGACTAACCGATTTGATGTGCACCGATTTCAGATTTCGAACGCTTTGAAGGCGGGAAAGAGGTGTTTATCGGTAAATCGAACGACGGCTCTAAAACGGAGAGAAACGCAAACGCAGAAGGTCGCCGCTAAGCGCAGGCCAAGGATGTTTTTAACATATGTGCTTCTGCATATAACACATTTACATATATATACACATTTACACATGCAGAGAAATATACTTATTTATGTATACAAATAACTGATATGAAGATACCATGATGGCTTTCAGGTGTATCGAAATGAATGTTAATCTTTTTTAAAGACCTATAGGCGTTAAGTTACTGAGAGAAGTTTGCGTGTTGGTCAGATGTTCATGTGGAAATTTTCATACATACATATATGCAAGTATGTGCATATACTTATATATTACATATGCTTATCATTTTTGTAGGTATATAAATCAGCAATAAAATTTGCAACTGAGGTAAATGAAAAAAAGAATTAATCCTTATACAAATGTATGTCTGCATTCTGACACGCATATGCACAATATTCATTCTATTAAATAGAGGCATACATATGTATATATACATATATAGTAGTATATACAGTTATTTAAAATACAGTAATTTGACCAATAAAAAGAATTTATTCACCAACAAAAGGTGTCTAATATTAACTAATATTTAAAATTCCAATGGTATAATATATTTTTCACATAGGCTTTCAATTTTAGGAGCTTCACCAACTTCAATCATATGTATGTATGTAGCTACTATATCCAGTTTCAGAAAATTCACAATCATTAGTGATGAAATGTTAAGAATTAAGTTTAAGGCCATCAAAAAAGAAGTTGGAGGAAAGGAAAGCAATAAAAAAAGAAAAATATACATTTAGAGAAGTTGTGTATAAGCAACGAATCACGAAGCAAACAAGTAAGCAAGCATTGCGTTAATAACTGTCAAAGTACCGCTATAATGTGTGTCTTTTTTCGCCTTTTTGAGACAGTGAAGCGAAAAAATTATGAAATTGGCAGTTAGCACAATGGATTTAACAGTCATAAATATTTTTTTTTTTCATTGCACACACCAACCGTTATTTGAAATAAACAGAAAACATATTTTCGAATACTTTGATGCAAAATTTTTTACAACAAGAAAAAAAGTTAAATATGTTTGCACTGTAGTTAGAATATCCTTCATAACTAAAAAGTTTTTCTACAATTACTGGATTTTGATCGATCAGTTTCTATGACAGCTACATATGTATATGCTATAATGGTTCGATTCGATCAATTTGTTCAGATATTGCAGCCTTAGAATTAGATTTCACAGAATTATCTCAACAAATAAAAAAGCATATCATACAAAACAAAACTTATCAACATACTTATATATATATACGTTTCCTTCGATGTGTTGCAAATTTCGTGGCAAACTTAATATACCATGTTCAGGGTATAAAAACATATATATTTTATACTCAACTGACGAAAAGTTGAAAGTAGAAATGTTTATATGTACACTGTGTCTTCTTATTCGTGTGTTTTATTTAGAATCAAATGCATGATGTTAACCATAAGTTTCACAGATAAAGATGTTTTTAAAAAAAACTTTTAATTCGTTACCTTTATCTTATATATTTACATATACTGTATATATATGTAAATAACTATGCACTTTCTGATCTACTGTATAGCAAGCATATTATATTTAGATATCTCGCAGATACAGTTAAATAAATAAAAGCATACATGTCAACAATCATAAACATAAATCTACGCATGTAGACCAGTTATAAACTTTCACACAGAAGCTCCATTGGCCTATTACATACAAGACACAAGCGGATAGTCGAATGGTTAATGGGCATATTTTCTTTGGAAAATTCTTATAGCCGAGTTTGATGTCTTTGATTGCAAAATATGGCCATATCTCGATTTCTCACAGAACAACAACAACAACAACATTAAACGCTTATTGGTATTGTAGAAACAGGTACAACGTAAAGCTCCATAGAGTAGAGTTGTGTATATTTGCAGTTAGTAAATATAAACATTCACACACGGGCATATCCGCACTTTCTACAGCGCTTTGTTGTTGTTATTAGCTCCAAAGTTCTCGTTCTGCAGCCTTGACTTTGGCTCATTGATTGCTTTGACCAGAGAATGTCTGCAATATATTTATGTATGCTTACATTTGAGCGTTCCACATGCAGCTGCTTGCTTTACTGGCCAAAGACCAAGTGGTTTATTGTCTCCCCGATTCCATCACCAACACTTTACCTATTAAGTAGATGTCTATGTCTGTTGTCAATAGTAGTTGCCTAACAACAACAGGTTTTTTGCGTGTTCACGTTGATTTTTGTTATTTATTTTTCAAAATATATACATATGTATGTGTATACATACAATACTTATATTAGAAGTATTTTTCGTTGTCGAACAAACCGCAAATCGCATTGGAGTTTAGTTTTCATCTTTATATAATTACTTAAAAACTTCATTAACACTGATTGTTTTAAAACAGTTTGCAGTATATACCTATTATATAATATGTATATAAACAAGAAAAAACATTAACTTCGGCTGTACTGAAGCTGAAGTATAATACCCTTTCCATGGGCATTTCTTACAGCATTCAAGGGTTATACAAATATTTGTATCTTGATTTTGATGAATCAGTTTGTTTGGTAGCTATATGCTATAGTGGTTCGATCAGAACAATTACTTTTTAATAATCATAATCTATGCCAAATTTCGTGAAGAAACATTTGCATGGCAGCTGTGTGCTATAGTAGTCCGATCGGAACCAGATCTGTGGATATTGTAGCGTTTCCTTGGATAGTAATGTATGACAAATTTCGTGAAGATATCTCGTTAAATAAAAAAGTTTCCCATACAAGAACTGTATTTTGATCGATCAGTTTGTATGACAGCTATATGATTTAGTGGTCCGATATAAGCGGTTCCGACAACTGAGCAGCTTCTTGAAGAGGAAATTACGTGTATAAAATTTCAGATCAATATCTCAAAAATTGAGGGACTAGTTCGCGTATATACAGACAGACGGGCATGACTAAATGAACACAGCTCGCCACGCTTCTCAATTAAATATTTTATCTACTATCTATCTGAACTACTTTTGTTCTAGCTACAATATATTTAATTTTTTCTTAAACTTTAACTTTTTATTAAAATACAAAGTTGGATATATTTATCTACTATACATTTACTAATTTAATATACTATAATTATACTACTTTCTACTTTTGGTACCTATTTAAGTAACGATTCCAATCTCTTCTGCGTCGCATTAGCGGCAGATTTAGTAGCTGTTTGCGATTTTAGTAAAGCTGCCAGTTGTAGCAGTGAATTTTGTTGTTGTGTTTTAGATTGTAGCAGCTTTGTTGCTATATTCGTAGTCTTAGCTTTTTTCTGCTTTCGTTTTTTAGTTTTGAGTGGCTGGCTAAGATTGGTGGTGGATTTAGTTGTTACTTTATTTGAAGGATTAACCTTAGTGACAACTTTATTACTTGGCAGTGGTTTTATGGTAGCTGCCGGAACATTTTGCTTAATAACACTAGTTTTAGCTTGTATTTTGTTATTAGTTTTTGTTAAGTTTTTGCTTTTGTCAAGTTTCAGTCCAGCTGTTTTATCCTTATTTTTCTTCTTTTTCTTTTTTGCGTCCACTGGTGTCGGTGTAATTGATTCAGGAGTAGCGGTCTCCTCTAAATCTGCAGTTTCTGTATTTTCGCTATCACGTCCTGTCTTACTCGGTTTTTGCATTTCTATGGAGGTCTTATGTTTGCAGAGTTCGCATTCAATAACCTGGAATATTATATTTATAAAAATAATATTTTCTACACTATTATGATTCCATTAGTTACTCACCACACTGCTCAGAACGCGCTTTTGTAACCATTTGGCCCTCTTGCGCTGTTTTCTAGTTAGTGCTCTTCTTTTTTCTATGCTGGTTTTTGCTTCATGTAATTTCTCGATTTGCTTCTTTGCTTTAGTGGAATATGCAATTTGTTGTGGCTTCAAAAACATCTTATAATTTGTTTCACTCCATTTGCTTGAACAACGGGGGCACATTGTGTTCTGTGAGAACTTCTCTTTTGGCATAGAAATGTTAGATTTTGCAAGCTTGCGACAGTTTGTCATAAAATAAGATTTTAGTAATTTTCTCGTATGCCCTTCGGCCTCCAAAACCGCAGCACAGTCCCATAAATATTTTACTTTAGTTTCAGCACTCATTTTCAAGTTATTATTATTATATTTAGGTTGTATTATGTCTTAGTTTACGTATGTTGTGTTTTTAAGATCAGCTGTTCGGCGCGATAGCATGCAGTCGCATTCACTGAATGCGCCCCTTTGCGTTGCCAATAACTTGCTGAAGATGTCACCACGGGCGTTTTTACACAATTGGTGTGGAATCGGTGCAATATCAAATTACTTAAAATTATTTTTGAATTTTATGATGAAAATAAAATTAAAAAGTTAATATATTATTAGTCTTAATTATATTCGGTAATTTCTTTCAGTCGCTTAAAAAGTTATTGCGTAATATACTAAAATTTTTACGCACATCCGGTTCAAAACCGATTTTTTGAGTAACCATGTCCGCTGTATATCAAATACAATGTATATCCGGTTCATTAGAAAGATCTGTTGTTTTTGCAACACTAGTGCATTCTTTACTTCACTAGATTCAAACGGTACTTCCGCGCGTCAGTAAAAATTGTTTGAAGTGATTTTTCATTAAGTAAATTCATGTTTTTAAAATGGAAAATGTCAGATTGTGCAGTTATTTAATTTTTTTTAAATGAAATTGAGAGCAATAGTAGTTGTAATGTGCCAATATGTGTAAGTGTGAAGAAATATTTAAATCGGGTCATTGTGCAAATGGCTGATTAGTTTCAAAGTGTTTGTGTGTGTAATTTACGCTCAATTGAAGGAAGATGGGAAGTGGTTGTGAATATAGTATAATTTATAAGCTAAAAAGGTAATATATAAAAATGCATTTATAAAAAAATAAAAAATAAGTGTTACTATGAAATTGCTGCACACCACGTCTATCGTTGCTGATATTCTCGCTGCGGCGTGGAAACATACTTATACATATGTACATATGCTACATAAACACATTCAAATGTATTTCGGTTGGTCAGGTAAGTGCTAGATGTTAGTTAATTTTTAAGTTTCAAATTTCAATTGAATAATTGTTCGCAATTTCAAAGATCTATTGGAGTTTTAATTATTCTCTAACTTGTTTAAAAATTGTATCTGGATAATTTATTAAACTAAACTATTAAGTCAATAAGACAAAGTCAGTTAGAAATTCAATTCTAGAAAATATTTTGTTTGCTAACAATTCTATATGGTAAAGAGGTCAAATAAATTTGTGTAAAATTGCTGTGTATGTATAATACATACTATGTACATCGACGTTCCTAGCTAACGAAGAAGAAGCTGTGATCCTCTAACTTATCAATGCATTTTGTCCTGCATAGCTATTTGGGATAAGGAATTCTTATACATATGTACCAATATACATTGGTTTCGTTAGTTTCCCTTTTGCAAACTACTACTTTTTAATTGTAATTAAAAGATGTACTTTCAAAAATATGTGTGTACTTGTATACAAATCCTCATATATTGCAAGCATATAGGGACAAGCCGGATGGTTTCAATAAACTTTGTTATCATTTGGCCGGGAACTGCCGCACATAAGCAGACATGTGGCACATAAACGCAAGAAAGCAACAGTATGCCCTTGGGTTTTATGATATTTCTTAAACTGCAGCGTACTTATATAATTTAAATGAAGCTTTATGAAATATGGTAATAATTTTGTGTTCAAATTTTTCTAAATTCCTTATTTATAATTTTGTCAAAATCAGCTGTTTGGCGGGCGCACGCTTGGGTATTTACTGAACGTACGCTGCTAAAGTTACACGTAAAATATGTTAGATGTCACTGCATGTCCCTATGACAAATAATAAAGTGGAATTTAAAAAGAGCAAAATTTAAATCTTGTGAAAATTTATTTTCGATAAAAGATAATTATTGCCTACTGTTTATACACATCCATTCTAAATATGATAACAACAATAACATAGAACTGCTTTTCAATATGAATATCCGGTTGCAGCCACAAGTTCCTTCTTGATGACACCACCACCATATTGAAAGTCCGAGTTGATTATTCTTAGCCTGTTAAAAATCTGCATCCGTTGCGGTTACATAGATCCGACTTGGTGGCAAAGGATAATTAACTAAATTCAAACCGTTTGTTGTGATTATTTATTTAAGAAATTTTTTTTATTTAACATATAAAAAGCAACAATACATTTATAAGCATTCATTAAAATATTTTGTATCGTAAGAAATATTTAGAATACTTGTGGACGGTGATTTTGAATATCTGAAAGTGTAAACAATAACTCAAACAAGTGGAGTCTCACAATGCTAAGGCACTCAATTGATATAAGTCTTTAATATCATCGCTCCGCCGCTGTTAGTAAAATATACATAAGTCTGTATATAGATATGTATTGGAATTTATGATTTGTCCTTCATTATTACTGTAGAGATGAGTATTGCTTATGATTATGCTGCTTTGATTATGAGATGTTGCTTTGTTAGTGATTTTCGAGTTTTTTGATACTTTTATCAATTTTGTAATTAATATCTGAAATAAAAACAAAAAACAAATTAGTTAGTCTTTAAAATGATGAAAAGTGTAAACAAATTATAGCAGGTTGAAATCCATTGGAACAGGAAGATAAGGGGCACACGTAGTGTAAAAATTAAAAATTTTTTTTTCATATTTCGATAGTTTATACCTTTAAAAGTAACATACTAAAACATCATAATTTTCGATATCTTAAATAATTTTTGAGTTACAGCCATTTTAAGGATAGCCGCCCAGTGCAATCAGCTCCATCAGTTTATCTTTAAACGCGTTTTTCTTGAAACAGCATTTTTCGAATTCGCTGAAGACAAATTATTGGTTCATTTTTTTCTGCTTATTCTGTATATAATATACTTGTATAATGACCGATCGGTTTTTAGGAGAACATTTTCTAGTTTAACGAGAATTTTGGTGAATTACCGTTTTGTTAGCGCCGTTCGAGATCTTGTATAACTCCAAAAATATTTAATTAAAATTTTCACTGTGTATTCTTGAAAAATGTATATCCTGAAAATTTCAAAACAACTTATACAGTAGAATTTTTAATTCACGAAAATCGACTTATTTTAGGTTGTCACACTAGGTGTGCCTATTAAAAACGGTTTATTTCGATTTACAGCATAACCAACGGCCCTATATCTGATAAATCTGATATTTTGACGTGAGTATTTTTGATTGAAAATCAGGATTTTTTTCCTATATTAAGTCAAAATACGAAGAAAAAATAAATATTTGAATAAAAAAAAAATACAGTGCGTTTGGTACACCAAAAGGCAAGTTTACACAAAAATGCTTAACAAATATTTTTTCTTTTGTAAAAAATGAAAATAAAAAACCAAAAACCTGGTTAATTTAATTTTTAAATAAATTTTAAGGTTATGTGAAAATAGTGTAAATACAAAAGTTGTAAATCTTTTCATTACCTACAATTTTGCCATACACTTCTATAGGACCGGTAGTTTTGCCGTAAATCGAAATAAGACAATTCTTAAAAATTCAACTACGCCCATGCCTTTCTTTATTCCGCCCTCAGATCGCCCGTAAATTATTTTTCCTTTAATTTTTGTAATTTGATTTTTATTTTCCAATGGATTTCAACTTACTATGATTTTTTTGGCTTTAAAGAATCATTTACTCTGATTTAAAAGTGAGTTAAGAACATTACTTTTTTTTTAGACAACACGTATTGTAGTTGTTTAAAATTTTCCAGCATTCAAAAGGAAAATGTTGCTTCTGTTAAATAACTAAAACATACACAAAGTTACACATTCAATTTCTTACGCTTTGCTAAAGACCATGGTGACCTGAATTTAATAGAACTTAATTTTATATACCTACAAGTGGCAGCTTAACCACGACTAATTGACTAACCTCGTTTTCCTCATATTTATTTCATGCGTTCGTGACGTATTGTGGAAGCCAGGTAGCATGCCAGTATAATGCCCAGTATTTGTATGAAGGCAATACCAATACCCACACCAATTAGGATGACGGCGTTCTTATCGATTCGTTCCCTAAGTTTGCCGACGCAACCCTCCTGTTAAGTAAAAACAAAAACAATTTTGAACATTAAACTATTTTTTCAATTACTGTAAGTACACACCTGAAAATACTTATCCACGCCCAACGCCAACGACTCAGTGCAATGTCCAACGGCCTCATCAATGTATTTTTCGCGACAGCAGCTAGCCGGCAATGTTTTATTGGCGCTAAGTGTACGCCAATCGGCTGGATTGTCGACACCGCAACACATCAACTTTCGCTGCACATTGTCCCAAGCCATCATATCCTCATGATTTGAACGTTTTATAGACTCCTGCAGTGAGTTCTTTAGCATCATTTCCAGGTCCGCCTTGAAGACAGCCGCGGCAATGCCCACGGCTAACTCGACAATGAAGATGATGGCGAGCAGCACAGCATACTGAGAGAGAGAGAGGCAGGAAAATAAAGTATTGTAATATTCCCACATGTACTCCAAAAACAATCACTTACGGTGAGCAGTAATGTTGGTGACTCCTTGATGGCGCCAAAACAACCCAACGTTGCAATGAGAAATATGATTAAACCGGTCACAATAAGTACAATGGGTGGCGCCGTCACTCTACCCTCGACAAAGTGACTGAATTGGTTGACATCGGCAAGGACAACCGCACCGGCTATTAAAATACCGAGCCCCGATATCTGTTAATGAATATCAAATAATTCGATAAAAATTATTGCAACTAATGTATTGTTATTGAAATGGATTGGTTATTGATCAGCAACGTAAATTATTTGCATGGGCGTATGTGGCATTTAAGGCAGTAACACATTTTTTAGCTTATGAAATATTTAAATGCTCATAAGGCAAAGTACTCACTAACGAACTCCGCTTGAAAGGTTAGTTCAATGTCAGATTAGCATTTGCGATAAATGCGCAATGAATGCTCATGCTTGGTGCCACATGAAAGGTCCAACTAAATTGCCGTTGGCTTTGCGCCAGCGCCTAATAGCTAGTGACCATTATTATGTGCTTTAATATTCGTGTTTATCTCAAATCCGAACACTTATTACAACAAATTTCCTGAATATATGGCGCAGTTAGTTTTGACGAGGCTCCTAATGTCAAAGTTAAGGCATGTCATATAAAACTCATGCACTTTGCATACGGGAAGAATAAGTATATATGTACATATTTAAGTATATATGGAGCGTTATTGCGTGTGCTATTAACTATGGCATGACTTGGTGTGCTTGTAGAAAATCTATGCAACTGTGTGCTTTTCCATTTATTCTGTATATTTACATATACATAATTTTTTATATAAATATTATATATTTATTTAATGGTTTACATGGATTTCGTCGCGCTAAAAACGCCCTATTTTCAATAATTTTTTTGTTTCATATAAAAAATAAAATATTTTATTCAAACTTTTTATTATTCCGAAGATACATATTTGATAAAGATTTTGTGAAATTTTCAAAGAAAAATATTTAAAACTCGCTCATTACGACGTAATTTCCGGCATTCCCTTAGAAAAAAGGTGCTTCCGCGTTGACAGCAGAACTTCTGACAGGATCACCAAAAGTAAATAGAATACATGTTTGAATTAAGACCATAAACTAGGTATTGGTCAAAGGAAAATCTAAGAAAGTGAAAATTGTATTTTTGGCAGTCGTTTTTACAAAATTCAAATTTTGGTGAAAATTTCTCGACGTTTTATATTTTTTAAATAGTTGTATTTGAAGAAAAAAAACTTTCGTTCAAGACCTTGTAAATTATAGCTCGAAGGCTTGTGTAAAATTTCATTAAGATCGGTTGAGTAGTTCGTGAGAAATCTTGACAACCGACTTTGAAAACACAGTTTCGAGAAAAACAAGTTTAAAGTTTTAAGTGACTATATAGCTGACCTCGAGCGCGCAACTTTTCAAAGCTGTATCTCCAAAAGTATTACTCGGATCAACTTGAGAATTAAAAACAATATTCTAGAGATGTTATCCGATTAAATAAGACAATAAAAAAAATGTTTTTAATTAGTAATTATATATATTATTTCATCCTACATATATTATACGTACAGTTCACTTTTCAGTACAACACACTTTTATGTTACATTCGTTAAAAAAGCTGCAAAAGTATTATTATTATACTCGTATTTTTATAGCATCAAGTGTTTTAAATAGCTTACAACAGTTAATTTTATTAATTAACTGACTTTTTTTTAGGGAAATGTTTGGAAAATAGTCACAACATAATAAAATTGCGGGCTATTTCTCACATGACACTTTCTCTAAATATTAACCTATGATATTCAGGATTTTTCCAATTTTATATATTTTCCACTTATGTTAATTAAAAAGTTTAACACTGGCATATGGAGATCAAACTTCACACGAACTTAAAAAAGGTTGTACCAATCTTATCGATAAATTGTGAGGTTATGTGAAAAACCAATAACTTTGCCATATGACTTTTTTCTATAGAACTCGTAGTTTTGCCGGAAATTTTAATAAGCCATTTTTAAATATTAAAAATTCAACTACACCCCCCCATTCCTCTTCTCAACCTCAGACCATCCGTAAATTATTTTCACTTTAATTTTTGTTATTTTATCTATTGTTTCCAATATGTTTCAACCTACTATGAATTTCTTTCACTTTTTAAATGCCAATGGGTATGTTTGTAGAAAAACAAAGAATAGCGCTTGTTTTGCGCGTCGGTTCAAATAGTAATTACACTTGTTAACAAAAATTCTCTTTCAGATATACAAAACCACTGCCATCTCTAGGCATAGCTTTTGCTTTTACAAAATTTTTTATCAGGCCGAGCTTTGTGTGCAATGGTGGCAAAATAATGTCGTCAGGGCTCACTAAAGTAGAATTTTTAATATTTTTATGGCGTGGAGTGCATGATTTGCGCATGGGCCATACTTTTTTGTGTAGTGATTTTTTCTGTTTGCAAATGAAACAGGAAAATTTTGTGTAACCAAGCCGTAGTCCAAGCAAAAGTGCAATGACTTTTTCTAGAATAAATCTCTTACTTTCGTAAGTCTCTTTCATGTCAGAACTATCATCAACCGACATTGAAGGAAGTACATTTCCGTTCTGAAGCAGCACTGCTTTTAAACTATTTTTGGCGGAGTCAATGAAGAATCGCCAGTGATTTGGATCATATTCAAAATTTAATAAATTCATCAAAACAGGAATGCTATTAAAATAGACTAAATCACTTGATTTATAGTTTGTATACCCAAAAGGAAACGTCGGAGACCCGGAGATGTATATATTTGTATGTATAAATTGATCAGCGTGACGAACTGAGTCGATTTAGCCAGATCCGACTGTCTTTCTGTCTGTGTATACCCTCAGTTTTTGAGATGTCGATTTGAAATTTTGCACACGTCCTTACACTTACTTACCTTACATAACTGATCACCATGATGAGCTGAGTTGATTTAGCCATGTCCGTCCGTCTACCTGTATATATACGAACTAGTCCGTCAGTTTTTAAGATATCGATTTGAAATTTTTTTGAAATTTGAAATTTTGCAGCTGTCATACAAACTGAATAATCGGAATAAAGTGTTTGCATAGAAAACTTTTTCATTTGAAAAGATATCTTTACGAAATTAGGCACGACTTATTGTTTTAGGCAACCATGTATTCTCTGAAGAAATTGTTTAGATCAGATCACTATATCATATAGCTGCCATATTAACTGAACGATCGGAATCAAGTGCTTGTAAGAAATCTTTGTATTTGTGAAGGGTATTATAGTTTCGGTACAACCGAAGTTATTAGTTTTTCTTGTTTTTTCAAAAATTTAATACTACATTTCAATATCCGTTTTTTGAGCTCTTATAAAGCTTTAATATAAAGGATGTTTTTATAATTCTCTTTTTTTGGTGCTTTTAATTTTTTTTTCATCTGGTTAGAAATCTCTAAAAAATTGAATGAATCAGCTTTTGAATTGACTGGTAAATGCACAATGCTTTTCAATGACTTTGGTAATTACAGAGCTCATTAAAAATGAGCATTGGTTATTTCTAAACACATTGTTGTGGCCTTTAATGTCCTGTTAGTGTTAATCACAAATATGTACAGTAAATTAATAACATGCAACGCTGCACATTGTCACTCATCGTAGTTCACACACACACGAACGTACAGGATATACCCCTTCATCAATAAATATTTACTTTAAATGACAATTATTAATGAATGCGTAGTAGTACTGGGTACGCTCGAGTAGCTTGACGATTTGCCTATTATCTTGCTTATAGAACTAGGCAATTAACAATAATATTTACTTACCGCAAATATGATATTGAAGGCGAACAGTATATACTTGACCAAACTCATGCCGCATGTACGCATTTTGAAATTCATTTACCACCGGAAGTGCAACAACAGGGAAGAAGGGCAGCAAAGTGTGAAGTTTCTCAACTTAACAGCAGATTTTTATCTACTAATGCTAATGCACAGGCACACAGTATTTCTTCTAATCAATATTTTTAATATAATTTCTTTATTAAATGCACTTAGTGATTCGTTTTTATATTTCCAGCTTTATTCCAACACACGTTCGCCGCAAGCAACATTTAACGGTTAAATGTTGTGGTCGAATTAACAACTTCGTTTGCGCAATCACGTCCGTTCAATTAGGCGGTTCTGAATGAACTGACCATTGCTTGGTCGCAGACTTCACCACCAAAGCTGTAGTGCTTTTAGGCGCAAAAGTGACGGTGTGGCCAAAATAGCAACAAATGAATTCAGTACATGCTCCCATTCGACGCGCTCTGGTTTTGGACGCCTGCATGAGTTGCGTTCTTGTGTTGGGGGCAGGAGAGCGGTTGGAGGGTGTTCTTAGCAGTGAAGTCCGCAGTTCGCTCCATTATTTTTAACTATTTGCTTTCTAATTCGTCATTTGGGTTGCACGAGAATTGAACCCTACCATCAAATGCCTTGATTACACTTCTCCGAACGGCTGGTAGTGTGGGCGTAGTGAAAGTAAAAGTGCCGAGAAATCTACGTACATATACTCGTGTCTTTGTGGGTAGCAATTTAGAAGTCCAACGAGCTCCTAGCTTCACCCGCTCTACGTGGCCACATATCGCTTAAGAGTTTTAGGTTTTGTTGCCGTCTTATGTCGGCTGTTCCCTATTTAACACATTATTTTCTTTTTCATATACATTTTCCTTCATCCCACCTTATCCCTATTTACCTTTAGTTTCTTCTTTCGGAAACACCTACGTGCCAAACTACTCAGCTTTGGTCATATCGCCACCACCGGCGATACAAAGTTTAACGCTAGAGTTCAACGGGCATCAGTTTCCGGTGGTGTAGGTCTTACCCTGCTGTTCCATTTTCCCTTTTACCATCGCCTATATCCTATACACTGGAATTTTCTATGTATTTTATTAGGCGACCGCAACCCCTTGTGCGTTGGTGCCCCATAGCCCACTTAAATCGACAGTTTGACTTCATGCCACCGACGCTGTTGCTTGTCGATGTTGCGTGTGACGTATGTACTTTACATTGTTGACGGTATGTAGGGACTTAAGAAATTCGTTGCACAGCCGTAAGTCTTATGATGGCATTAATTCTTGATACGTTAAAGCTGCATTAGCTCGTTTCGTTTTCGTTATAGGCCAACATGTCATTGCACTCATCGAATATTGTGCTAATAATAGTTTGATATCAAATATAACCAAAAGAGATGTGGGAAGGAAAAAGATACCAACATTTTCTTTTACGGTTGGTTGAAAGCGCCAAAAGCTTTAGGAAATTTCTTTCTGGACTCATGGTTGTACTAGATAGACACAATGTTAAACTTAATGGCAAGTAATGTAATGGACCGTGCCAATTTATAACCCAAAAAGAACTGAAACAAGAAAAAACGTTTGCCCCGAAGGTATAATATCCTTTATAGGTTCAAGTTTTCTAACAAGCACTTAATTTTGATCGATCAGTTTGTATGGTAGCTATATGCTATAGTGGTCCGATCTGAACAATTTCTTCGCAGAATGTATTGTTGCTTTGGAAGATAATCCATTTCTTGTTAAATAAAAAAGTTTTCCATCCACGAACTTGATTTTGATCAGTCAGTTCGTGTGTCAGCTATATGCTAGAGTAGTCCGATATAGACGGTACCGATAAATGAGCAGCACCGTGAGGAAAAAAGGACGTGTGCAAAATTTGAAATCGACATCTCAAAAACTGAGGGTATACACAGACTGAAAGATAGTCGGATCTGGCTAAATCGACTCAGTTCGTCACGCTGATCAATTTATACATAAAATATATACATATTAGGGTCTCCGACGTTTCTTTTCGAGTGTTACAAACTTCGTGGCAAACTTGCCCCTGTTCAGGGCATAAAAATATGTGTTAAATTTTCTAAGAGGAAACTTGATCATTGCTTATCTAAATAAAATACTTGTCATCTTCGCGGTCATTTGATAAATAACTTAACATTGACTCATTTAGGATTGAAACAATACCAAATATCGAGATCTGCTAGTTAAAAGAGTAAGGAATAAGTTTATATTCCACATTAGGCTTATATGCTTGGGTTACCTATAGATTATATAGTGCCAATTAAGAGATAAGAGTCTCCAGCGCTTGTCGGAAACTCTCGCTAACGTGATTAGCTAATCGACTATTTGAAAAGCATCAGATAAATAATTTTTTCCTGACTGAACTGAATAGCAGACCTCACTAATGCTGTCGCGTTTGAGTTATTTTTAGATTTATTTTTGAAAAAGGGTAAGACTTAGCCTGTGTTAGAAAAGTTATGTTAAGATGTCATTTTACATTGTGAATAAAATCTGAAAATATTTTCATCGTGCGTAGTCCTTTACACCAATTATTTGCGTTTACATAGATATATACATACTCCTGTATTTTCCTATTTAAATAACTTTCTCATTATTTTGACAAATATTATTCACAAACTCACATCTTTTAGTATGCAGTATGCTTTGTTAATTACTCGAAAAAAAATGTTTTGTTTCATGATAAATTTATACTCTGATTCAATGAAAGTTACATAAAAGCATGCGAATGAAGCCTGACCCGACGCAACGCAATATATATATAACTTTGTGTAATTAACTGTAAATAAGTGTACATAAATTTTTTGGTTACAGTCTCGTTGCTCCTAGCAATACCGTAAATGCCAAAACACACAACCTTAATTACTGGCATAAATCGCATACGCAGCACATGAAAATTTGCATTTGAATCTTGATTTGACCGAGAGAGGAAAGGCATTTGAGTGCGCCGCGAATTCCGGCACATTACCCACAAGTTTCTTGACACTTTATGTGACCATAGAAATCACGCAAGACGACGTGTTATAAACAACAAATGTAGAATATATATTTTATGAGGCAGCAAAGAAAATCAATATTTATTGAAAGCGTCCGAGAAAGTGCTCCAAATAATTTTTCTTTTATGCAAGTACATCTTTACATACATATAAATGTACATATATACCATGAACTTACTGGTATTTCTTACGGCTGGGAAAGATTACGTAGAAAACTTGAGAAAACCCGCAATTTATCGACATTTGAAGCGAACTTTGTCAAACTCATTTAGTTGGAATAAAATGAATTTGCTGAAATATTAGCCATATTTTTTATCGTTTATTAGCTTGTACGAGTATATACGAGTATATAATATATATAATTATACAAGTTTGAATATTTTTTACGGTTATTGTTTTAATGGGTCGAATGTCCTATTTTATCTTTTTTTACACAAGAAACACTTCCTTTTAAGAAACATTAAGGCGTTCAAGTATTTTCCTGCTATTTCCGGAATTCTTTTTTAAGATTAGCAAGCAAAAAATAGGTATGTTACTTTATAATTTCTATATTGCAATGAGGCGGCAAGCATGAAACACCATTTTAATAACGGTTGTTTCCAAATTCCATTTAAATTTGTGGGAAATAAAATTCTTAGTGTTCAAAGTTGGTGTAATTTTAAGGAGTGTTCAATTTAAGCCACTTACTTGTTCTCCGAACATTTCGCACAGTATATAACGGTTGTTTGTGACATCTAAAACTAAGCGAAATAGATATAGGGTTACATATAGCAAAGTGAGTATGATGACGATATAATTTGATGTCCGACAGTACATTGGTGGAATTAGGTCAATCTTTGGTGAAGACTCATAACTCAGAAACTCATAATTATAGGTGATATCAGTCTGCTACCACGTTCTTAATTTCTGTTATATTTTGTCGCAATCAATCCTCATAAGGGCATCGGGAAACTCTGACCAAAATATTATCGGGATCCGGCCATACTCTTTGCTAACTCCTTTATGGGGTAAGGGGTAGTCAAAATTTTCAAATTAATATAATCAAATCAATCAATTGCATTTTAAATTATTATTTTTAAATAAATATTCTCTGAAAATTTGAAGTAAATCCGACAGATACTTTTCGAGTTATTCGATAATTATCAAAGGGTTCTCGCGCGCTCTAGAGCGTTTGTGTAAAACTGTAAATGCGTTTTTCTCATAATTAAGTTTTTTGAACTGGTGACCACTGTAGCTCGGAAACCGTTCGGTCGATGCCAATGAAATTTGTACGGTTTTTTTGAAAACATAAAAAACTAGTGCCTGCTAGAAGGATTTTTTTAATTTCGATTTTTTTATAAGCGTTTACATAACTGTTGGTTTTTTCCGAAAATCTAAAAAAAAATTTTTGAGGCCGTGTTTTTGCTTAGTAAAAAAAGCTTCAGTCAGGCACTAGATTATCTATTAATAAAATTATTTTTTTGTCCGATTGATTTTAGATGAATCTCTATGGATTAGTGATGGTCATCGCAAGGAGCTTCGGAACTGGTTCAATGCAAACACCCACTACTTTTGAACTTATATTTTTGTTTATTTTAAGTGAGCCTATGTTTTTAATTTTTTAAATCAACCTAACCATTTATATGTTTTACTGGCTATTTGCAATCTTCCCATCCTTCTGATTCACTTCATACCGTATACCGATTATGTGAGATATCTCATATTTCGTGAGGTTGTTTAGTAGAGCATAATGTGACAAAAATTTTTAAAATAGATACATATGTATCGAGTCTTGGTCCCATATACCGAACGTGTAAACAGGTATGAATTCGATTCACATGATGTGACAACTCCGTATACAAAATACATACATACAATTGCGAGAGTATCTAATGGTCTGTTGTACCTGAACATAGTCCTTCATTAATTTTGGAAACTGGTAAAATTATTTCGTTGAAGACATCGCGATTATTACTGGGATGAGCAACACTAAATCAATTCTTCTTGTCATCCCATGATTCGATATTTTCATATATTCTATATTCGATAAGTGACATATATACTTATATTACATTTCTAGTATTGTTGTTTAAGATCCACTTTTTTTCTTTTCACTGTAACTTGTAAATTATGCTATTAATTTCGAATTAGTACTCATAAGACCAACAAGAGTAAAAGTATATACCTACATACAAGTATGTAGGTACATTTAAGTGTCCAACCACTAAACCTCCGCTACACTGCCGACATTGTGGTCAATAGCCTAACATATAATGAGGGCAAAAATTAATGTGTTTCGGTAAAATTTTGGTGGGAAAACCCCACAAGTAACTATGTGAAAAAAAAGAAAGGATAGGCAGTATTGAAAATACCAAAAAAATAATAGGCAATTATTTACCTTAGGTTGACATAGATGGTAATCGCATTCCGTCTTGGTTGAATATGCGCCAGTGCAATACAATTATTTACCATGTAAATTATGTAGTGCACAATGAGGCCAGTTGGAAAGGTTACTTCGTAAAAAATTGTGCTTTTTGAATTTATTTGGAATAAAATAAAATGGAATGAGAGTTTTTCCAGTTCTTTCGAACTAGAACACATTTATTTTAAGATTATGACGTTTGCTGAGAATGTAGGCATTTACTTACTTATATTATTTTTAGGCGCATAATCGATTACTTCGAATTGGTAATACTCACAAGTTTGCTTGTGGGGATAATTATTTAGTAGAATATGCGATCTGGATACAGGTGTATACTTTACAAATAGCTTGTACCCTATAGACAGTGCTTCATTCGCGAATATGAAGTACTAGTTCAGTCTCTGAAGCTTATGTTATGAACACCATTATCGTTAGATCTATTAAAGCAGTTTTATCTTCTGTTTCAAAACCGGAAATCTTGTCGCTAAATATCTTTGCTGTTAACATTCTCTCGAGACCTAAGAACAGAAAAAAGTCGGTGAGTAATAGATCCGCAGTTCATACAGTGTTGCTATAGCTTTCGTTTTGAGTTCGAAATGGGGATCTTTTTCTGCGAGTTTGTCTTTAAAACCTACCTGTAATGTTTTGTAATGATCTCAGTTTTTAGTTTTCATCTTTTCAAGATATTCGTTGAAAATTATTTCTTAAACATCAAAAAATATAGACACTATAACTTTTCCAGCTGACTGTACCTCTCTGAAGCTTTGAATTCGGTTTATCACACGGGGCCCACTCCGCCAACGAATTTCGAAAAGCCCATGCAATTATTATTTTTTGTTCAGTAAAATTAGATTTATTTATGCCAAATGGCGAAATTTATTTTCCTATGCATACATATATGGTATATTAGTAAGCTTACTCATAATTATTGTTAAAAATAATTTCCTAATTTTATTTTTCTTAATATTTTGACATAAGTTAATTCAATACTTTTGTGTTTCAAAAATTATTTCTGTCGATAACTTCGTGAATGATTACCAAAATTTCGATTCTCAGTCGTAGACAGCCTGCTCTCATTGGCTAAATACTTCGCTTGAGTTGCAATCAGCATTAAGACAGCACACGACTGGTTAATACCGTCAGGACGAAGGCAAATATTGAAACTACTTTTTCTGCAGCGCTCGAACAGGACCATTCATCACCGATGTTGCTAAAAATGTTAGTAATTAAAACTGTGTAAAAATTTGTGCTTTCAAATCACAATTAACTGCATAAAAATATTGTTTATGGTTTTATGAAAATATTCACGAATACATTGTGACGTGATTTACACACATACATACTTGTACATATACCACAAAAAACAAATATGTTTAATAATATTTTATGCGATTAAGTTTTACGAATGTTGCCTTTAAACGTGTACTTTGAATTGTTTGCTTTTTAATAAAAATATGGCAATGCATATGGATATGGTAAGCTCGATGTTAAAATGGGATAGACAACATGATCGTGCGGCTGTTGATGTGGCACATAAAATGTCGGTTCACAACTTATGGCCATTGCTTCTTGTGGTGGTGTATATACTCTGGAAAAATATGTTTCAAACTTTTCAATGAATTTTTGGACATTAGTTTCGACTGATGTAATCATATTGGGTTAGTTGCTTGAAGTGCTCTCCCTGTTTGCTCCAATACGAAAGTACCAGTACTTTTAAGGTTAGAACCGTGTGTGTTTGCTTGTAATCTACCTTTTTGTTTATGTTTAAAATTATAAGAGATTTTAATAATGTAAAGAATATGGTGACTTTACTAAATTTAGAAACAAATTCTATGTTCTATTCAAGTTCTCGATCAGAAAAGATCTTTTGATTCAGTTCATCGAATCATCTTGACAAAAATCTTTAAATACTTTGAACTATTAGGGAATACAGCAAGATTTTTCAGTTGAAAAAACCAAATCAAATATTAAAGCTCCACATTTATAGAAATATTCATTGCTTTTGAAAAACTGCAAATTTCGAAAAAAAGCTTACAGTGATTACTCCAACAATGTTACGATAATGTTTCTAAAATACATTGAATCATATCCTCTATCAAACACCTGTCGTACCTATTATATTAATTCTAGGCAGGAAGTTGAATAGAACAAACGAAGTAGTAAATATGAAAATTTTTGTTCGCCTGTTCAAATGTAACTTACGGCGATATATTTCAAAAAATCAGTTCGGCGAAGAATCATAGATTTCCTAATGGCTTTAGCCTCGAAACAATTCCTTGGGGTTTATAGAAAGATTAAAAATAAAGTTGAGAAATATTACTATCTATTATTCCTTATATGCTCCTGTTTCTTAAAAGCTATTCTTTAAATGGAAAAACTCATGTCTCAAAGGTACAAAGGCGATAAGGCGCCTTGTTTTAGTTTAGTCGGTGCATGGGTGCATTTTTTGATTTAAGCATTTCAAGTATTTTCGGTAAATTTAAGCAAATTAAACCTCAAGTTGAGAACCAATATTTTTCAGATCTCCAAAGTTGTTCCCGGGGTGAATCATAGCGTTCTCAACAAATAAAACAATTCCATAACATAACATGAGGGGCACCGCTAGTGTGAAAAATTGACAGTTTCGATAGTTTATACCTTTAAAAATAATTTAATAATAACAAATAGTTTTAGAGTTAAAGCCATTTAAAGGATAGCCGCCCAGTTCAATCAGCTCCATTAGTTTTTGTCTTTGAACGGGTTTTCTCAAAACAACGTTTTTCGAATTTGCTGAAGTTATGATTTGAAGACAAATGATCCGATCATAATATTTTTTTTCTACTTGTTCTGTATGTATTCTACATACCAAAAACGATCAAAATTCGGGGTTACATTTAATTTTTTTTTTTAAACTCCGCCATTCCGTCAACATTTGTTTTTGTTTTTTGATTGGGGTTGATTTGTACGGAGCATATGTTCTAGTTTAAGAAGAATTTTTTATTTTTAGGTTTCATCGACTAAGAAAACCGACATCACTGCAGCGGTGGCGGACCTTTGTTTTAGCATCGTCGGAGATCGCGTATAACTCAAAATTTATTTAAGATTTTTTTTTTCAAAAATTTTACTGTGAATTCTTATAACATGAAAGTGATCAAGATGAAGAAACAAATTGTCTTCCAAAGTTTTGTCTACCGCTCAGTACATAGATAGAAAGAAATAATATATAAACTGAGATAATATCAGGAGTTTGGTATTGCTATTATGTGAGATCGCTGCATTGCCACGCCCACAAATCGGTATTATTCGACAAAATATAAAGTACAATGATTCAGTCACAAAACTAAACTGTCAAAATTAAATCTGGCAAAGAGGTCACAGTGAGAAAGAGTATGAGTGGTTTGAAAAGTTTTATAACGGGGCGTGAGCCTAACTTGTAATACTCTTAATGTACATATCACGTAAACTACAAAATCTATGCCACCCAAACTCGGTTAGAACATTTTGTTTAACTATTTTTTATTAGAGTGTGAAAAAGGAGTGATAACCACGCTTACTTCCAACATTACTGTTATGTTCGAAACCATTGAAGTGGGTTAACTGTCTACTGTCTCAAGTTAGAATATACTGTCATTGTTTTTTAAAGTGTATTTATAGAAAATTTCTGATTATTTGTTTCATACTTGTATAAAAATTTACCTTGGATAGTAGTTAAGGATACCAAATATTTTATAAGCACAGACCTAACCTTGCAGGAAGCGGCTGTTAGCGCTTCACTCGCTGTTGTACATTTATATATATATGTGTGTGTGTGTATTTGTGTCAACACTAATTAAAACTAAATATACAACAAAATAAACCAGACTAGTACATACAAGTACACAAGTACAAAATAAACAGCTAATAAAAATAAACACCCAAAATAAATATAAACACGAATGTGTAGGTAAATAAGCAAAGTACAGTTTAATGTTAATTTGGCAGATTCGATTAACCACAAACGATTTTATTCGAGTTATTTTACAACAAAGCGATGACAAAGCCACATAATATTGCAAACTTATTTGTTTATAAACAATATTTAGTGCAAAAAATATGACTATATAACATTTCAATAAAATAGTAAGAAACAGAAAAATAGATGAAAGGAAAATAGAAATATACATGAAGAGTGTAAGAAAATAACAAAAGTACAGTAGAACCAAAGAAAATAGCACCAAATAGAGTACAATATAAATGAAAAAAGTGACTACATTAATTCGATTGACTGTGTGACAAAACAGTTATAAACAACAGTTACACATGGTGTTAAGCCGTTTGTTGAAGCTTTCTTAGTTTAGGTGTAGGCATGTTTTGAATAGATTTATTTACTTAACACCGATGACACCGCAAGCCAAACGTCCACCGGCATTTCCAGTCTTCTTCGAATCGGGGTGGGTACCCTTGCCCAAATCATCGGTCAATTCGTGCACGACCAAACCGCGTCCCACGATTGTACGTTTGCCAGTTAAACTGATTAAGTGGTCGGTGAATGTTGTATCGACAATGCCATTCGCATCGGCCTCTACATTACCGAGATCGCCAACGTGACGCACTTCATCGCCAGGCGCACCATGATCCATCTGTGGAGAAGACATTTTTTTATTAATTATGCGAATTAGTATGGTTTATTAATTAGATCTGGATATATAAGCAAAGTTTCATAACATTGCACCAAATCGTTGTCAAGTTATAGGTCTCTAAGTGAATCTACCTAATCTAATAGAAACAAGAAAAATCGTTAACAACTGTTGCATCGAAGTTCACAATTAATAAAGGTTTTCATGTAAGAGCTTGATTTTGATCGTCAGTTTGTATAGCAGCTTTGTGCTATAGTGGTTCTATATCGGCGGTTCCGACAAATGAGCAGCTTCTTAGGGATAAAAAAGAACCTGTGTATAATTTTACATCGATATCTCAAAAACTGACATGGCTACATCGATTCAGCTCGTCGCGCTAATTATTTATATATCAGTAAAAATTCATAAAATTCTATTGAGTGACCGTGGTTTCCGCATTTTTTGAATAACTATCTAGGCTTCGGCTCTTTCAGCTGCCGATCGACCATATATTGAAGGAATTACACTACGAACTAGTCCTTCACTGACTAAGCCCCCCTTGCTGGATTTATAAAGGGGTCGCTGGAAAAATATTTCTCTCGAACAAGGAAGTCAAGATGCATTCTGAAGATTTCGAAGCTTTAGGCTATCGTCCCGGTATCGCAATGTTTTCCTCACATTACAACATTATTATTTTGAAATTTAGAGATAGAAATACTGTTCAAATAGGTAGTCAAAGTACGTACCAGTTATCTAAAAAAACTGAACTATAGCATCTTATGGTTGTAATTGACAATTTCAGGTAATTTCGGCTGTTAAGATTATTACTTAATTAAAATTTATCGTGTACGCAATGGTATTAATGAAGATTTTTTTTTTTAATCTTTCAATGTCCCTTTAAAAAAGAAATTAACCTTGTAACCTTGAATCTAATTTAATTTAGAAAAGCACTTATGTATCAAAACTTTTCTATGATTTTTTAATATAATGCCAAACAGGTAGCATTTGTCAAATAAATACCTTATCGGGATTAAAATGTCCGCCAGTACTGAGACAGCCACCGGTCAAATCGCCCTTCTCGTGCACATGGAAACCGTGCTTACCCGGAGCCAGCCCCTCCAAATAGACCTTTACGTGAACATTTTCGGAGCAGCCATTTTGTATGAAAGTGACATTACCCTTCACCGTGGTACCCGCCATGTAGGCAATCGCTTCCATTGTGGCACTTTTCTGAGATTGATACACCAATATTAATTATAATGGTACATAAAGCAGACTATATACATACAAATATATGTAAAAATAAACTTTAATCAAAGTACAGGCCTTACCTGTGCCAGGGCGCTGACCGCACACAAGGCCAATGTGACTATTAAGGCATAATGAGAATGCATTTTTTGGCAATTCACTAAGAAGAGGGAGGAGAGTAACAATTGAATATTAGAATATGAATATGAATATGAATATAAATATATTTTAGTACAATATATTTGTATGTGTTTATATGTATAAATCACTTTAGTAGAGTAACATGTCTAAATTAAATGTGCATTATTTCAATTACAGTATAAATCGGGCTCTTGTCACGCTCAGGGAACGAAAAAGTATTAGAAGTAAATATTATATTGCTATAATTAATTGTATTGAGATAAATTTATAGATATCGTAAGCTACTAGAACCAACTAAACCAAACATCTAGACAATGAAATATAGTTTATATATTACCTTAAATTTCGAGAAAAAAATGCGTCACCGTTAGATCCGTAATATGTTTTTGTTTGAAACTACAAATTAATTTCAAAAGATTTCTTCGAAATACTCATTTTAAGAAAATGTTATAAAATCATTTTTAGATGACGTTCTTTAAGCATGGCAAAAGCATAGCTGCGAAGGTTGTTATCAGAATCCGGGAAGCCGGATATATTAAGGGTCCCTTCAGAAATCTCTCGCAAATCGATTGCATCTCTGATAACTTGGAACACTACGCCGCGGAGGCTACTCCTAGCGGCGTCTTCTACGCGCACATACCTCCGAGTGATATGAGGGTGTGGAGGAGTCGCTTGAGAAGAGGGGCAGTGAGCCTTTTCACGGAAGGATCGAAGCTCATGGAGAAGGTTGGAGGAGGCGTCTTCTGTTGGGAGCTCTCAACCAACTCTTGTTTCAGACTGCCAGACCACTGTAGAGTCTTTCAAGTAGAAGTAGCAGCTATTAAGGTAGCAGCAGATCTACCAATTGTGGCTTCTTTTTAGGAAGTATTCAGCCACTCCGATAGCAGAATTGCTCCACAGGCCTTAAGCTCGCTGACAGTGAGCATGGGGTTCACAGGGCTGCAATGATAGGTGTCCTAACTGGACACTGTTCCATTGGCACTCATGCGGAGAGGCTACTTATTTTAGAGGACGCAACTTGTCAAAGTTGCAGGGAGGAAGATGAGGTGGAAACATCTAAACACTTTCTCCCAGTGGCATTATTTGCGGTCTCTGGAATATTAGTTAAACCTAAGAAAAATTACGTATGGAAATCTAAATACTGATAAATATAACATTACATTAAAAAGCGGTGAAATTAATACATTTTTCCATGCAAGGAAAGAATATTATACTTTTCACCTGCAATTATAATGCATATTTAAAGTCGCTCTTACAATATATAGTTGCGTTGTGATTTATTACTTGGCGACAAAAGCGAATGTCAACAACTTTCCTCAACACCAGCTGTTTTCACTAAACCGCACTTGTGCATATATCATATATTTATTTCGGGAAGCGAATACAAAAATGCAGTTTCACAAAGCAACATTTATCATAATCCACTAATAAAAAATACCTTGCTAAAAAAGCAACACACGCCGATACACTGGCCGCGCCACTTGTGATTTACACTGCCCCTCGTGTTTTATTCTGCCTGTCAGCATAACCTTAATTTTTAAATCTTTTTGTGGGTCAGTGAGCATAAAGTGAGATTCGCCCAATAGAACGAAATTATATCAAAGGTGAATTCACTTTTCATGCAAAACTCAGACATACCATATGTACCTATTTACTGGTATTTTTGTATATTTAGGCATATGTTTGTATGGCATTTTAGTGCTGAAGCACTAGTTCTCTGTAATTTTGATACAAATGTAGAAACTTACAGGGTTACGTCCACTTCAATTGCTGCCTTTCCAATTGTGCTGATTTTTTGCATATCATTTTCGTAGCCTAGTATATATTATATGGGTATACATACATACATATGTACCTACATACATGCTAAGCAATAACGTTCAAGTATTGCACGCGCATTTATGGAAGTGTGTTTCCGTATCCCTGAGATATTTCACTTTCCAATTTAATGATCCATAAATATTTGTTGAAATAGACCTACTATTCCGCATCATATTCAACTTTAATAACGACCTTGTTTAGCACATACTTGTATAAATTGAATGCATACGAGGTTGGTCGAAATATCTTCAGACTTTTGTACAAATTTGTTGTATAATATTTTTGAGATTAAATAATGTAAGAATTGCAGCGAATATTTTTAACACTTTCAGACACAAAGTTACAAAAATTCAGTACTAAAACCCTCTGTTTTTTTTAAGATATGCCACTTGAAAGTTCATAGCGCCTATATTTTAATGCCATATATTGTACAAATAACAAATAATCTATCTAAAAGTTACACAGTGAGACTTAACCTAATTAAGAACCATTTAGGCAGAAAAGAACATGCATAGCATATAATGCAGATAGTGGAATGAAAAGTTCCGATCGTAACTATGAGAGCGATGCCAATGGATATATCTCTATACATGTCCCATGCTTCTGCCCAGCATAGCTAATCTAGAACTCGCCTTAGATATCTAGGTGCTTCGCAGTTCAAGGAACTAGATGAAATATCAAAATTACATGTCAAGTCGCTCTTAAAGTTCGCAAAAAGCGTTGCGGTCCTGTCTGACGAATACTTCACATCAATTATATTCTTCAGTTTTGGTCTCAACGAGTCTTTCAGGTTTTGAGACCTCAAGAGAATAATCGTTGGAAAGCAAACTGGCGGCATTAAAAAAGTAAACTTTGAGGTCTATTCTGAAACAACAAGTGAAACTTACCAGAAAATAGTATCAAAAAGTTGAAAGGTCGCTATAATAATTGAAAAAGATAAAAATCTAAAATTCGGCTGCATCGAGGTTATAATACACTTCACAGAAGCATTTCTTATAGCATAAAAGGGTAAAAACTACCTTAATCTTTACGTTGATAGGTTAATTTGTATCGCAGCTATATGCTATTGTAGTCCGATATGCACATAGTTCGAATATTGTATCGCTGTTTTTGAGAATAATTCATAGCAAATTTCGGGAAGATATATTTTTAAATAAAAGAGCCTTTCATACAAGAACTTATTTTTGGTCGTTCAGCTTGTATGACAGCTATATGATAAAGTGGGGTATAATAAAAAAAAATTTTGCCGAAAAATATGTTTTTATTAAATAATGATCTTAATGGGTGATAAATAAATTTCAATTAATTTTTAGAAAGAATTATGAGAAATATAAGATTTGCAGTGCAACACTCATTCAAATAATTTCGTACTACTCTTTCAGGGTCTAAAATTTCTCATCGAAATCCGAAAGTAATAACTACAAGCAATAAAATTTAATAAATGAATGATTGATTTAATAAATGAATGAGAAGAAAGCGAATTTTTTAGTGTTTAGTATTATTATGGTTGAGAGCAAACTTTTGTATAGGAATATTGAACCTAAAGGCGAAGAAGAGTAAGACATTTTTTATAATTACAAAACTTATTAGTTGACCCTCGTAACGCCATCAAATTTGCTAAGTCATTAAAAAATATTTTAGTGCTATTTTTCGTATAAAATAAAAGAGCACGCTTGAAATATTCAAACCTAATGAATGAATTGCTATGCTGCATAGTGTTTGGCCACTAAATCTCAGATACTAAGTTAATTTTAGTACTCTCGTATGAAAGTTTTTAATTTTTCATTCAAAACATCTGTTACCAGTAAATATACATACATATATACATATGTCTTTTAAGTGGGTACTTCTAGAGTTTATAATCATAATATGTGGTAATCACTGATAAGATTAACTATTTTAATAGCTTTTTGATAGGAGACAGCTTTAAAGCCATTAAATATATATAATAACAGCAAAAATAGTAGGTACGCAAATTCAGTGCAAATAATACATATATATTATTTTCAATAGGTATATGAGATTTCAAGTGCTAATTTAGACTCACTCACGTATTGCTTATCAAGCCGCAATTGGCATTTTTTTCTTAAATCCATTTTTGCTTATTATTCACATACTTAAATAATTTAAAATGTGTATATATTTTATTCACACGCTTTAATTGTTTTGTTTAATTTTAGGTATTTTATAAAACAAAATGCATAATAGTTAGTTGCTTCGCTATAGTAGAGAATTTTTGCAAGTAGTCGTAGTTCTACAATAAAACACAACCTTGAATAATATATCTGTGATACAACAAAATTAGCACATAATCAGTAATTAAAATAACTTCAGGGTAGAATTTGTGCATTTTTTTTTGCATTTTGTGAAAGTAAATTTCAATTTCGCTCTAAATAATATATATAAAATAAATATAATATAGATTTAATTACCAACAGTATGACAATTCTCACACTGTACTATAGCTTTGGCGATTACAGTGTAACGGTGTTATTCTCAAATACCAAAAAATATACATAAATATTGATATAAAATCGTCTGATTACTAGTTAATTTTGAAAAAAAAGTTGCATTTAGCAATATTTCTAATGATTTTTTTCTGAGGGGACTTCATATAATAAAGTATAGCATGCATTTTTTTATTTTATTTGAGGCAGTACATTTAATTACAGTGAGAATAAAGATAATTAGGAAAAGGACCCGAAATAAGTTTTTTTTTCGAAGTCATAAAAGTGCAGATTTGTTATATTTATCGATATAAGAGTACTTTCGCTATTTGGAAACGTCCATCTCGTGTTTTAAAAATTTGCTTAGTGTAATTGTATGCATATTGCTATTATTTACGTTAGGTATTTTATTATGAAATCAAATATAAAATATTAACAATAAAACAAAACCTCCTAGAACCATCCTGCATATTTTGAACAAAAGTTGTTGGGCCTATAACTATATGACTGCGGTTTGCCAAGAGTTGACTTGATTAGCATTCCATTGTTCTGATATTCCGAACATGCTATTGTCCTTGTACGCCCTTTAAAGTAATGAATGGTAATTCACTTGAAGCATGAACAACAATAATTTTCTTTTCACTCTCAAATATGAGGAACTTTGTGACTGAAAAAGTGTTTTTACGGGAAGTTTTTCTTCATTATTTTAATATGTAGAAAAGCTCAGCCGAAAGTCAGCGTATTTTGGTGGAAGTTTATGGTGAACATGCTCCACCTAAGCGAACGTGTCTAAAAGTGGTTTTCACGCTTTGAAAATGGTTGTTTTGGTTTGAAAGATACAGAACGGTTAACTTCTAAAACCGTTGAAGCCATTAATGGGGAACACTACCGACAGCTACTTATTAAATTGAAGCGAACGATTGCTGAAAAATGCTCGAAATTTGCAATTAGGCACGATTATTTTTCATCATGACAACACCGATTAAAAGATATTTGGAAAACATCGACTGAGAAATTTTGCCTCACCCACTTTATAGCTCTTTCTGGCTACCATTTCCTCCGGCCGATGCACAATGCCCCCACTAGAATACGATTCACATCAGAACAGGATATCAAAAATTGGCTTGATTCATTCTTGATTGAAGATGTTGGAAAACTTTGTAGAGACCGTAAAAATATATGTGATATAAGCTTAAGATCGTAGAAAATATCTCCCATGCTATTCGCTTATCAATCTCACTCTACAGTAATATCGAGAATTAAGCGAATTTTGTTGATAATGCGTTAAGAGATCTCAATACATCATACCGATATGCCAAGAATGATAAACATAGAGAATACGACAGTTTTCCGCCTTTACTTAATACAGTGTGTTTGACGCATAGTTCCTTGTACTGTGACATTATAAACGAATGAAAATGTTTTGGTTTCGAATTACTATGAAAGTGGTCGGTTGAAACTTTGGATCGCCTGCTTTAGTACATTGTGCTTGTTCCCGATCTCCAGGAAGTACGTTATTGGTCGAGTGAGAGCGTTAAAGGAAATTAAGGCAATTCTATAACAATTTTGTCTTGGTAGGACCTAACTCAAGGGAGTTTGTTTTGAGTATGGTAAAAAATATTTGTTATTAAGAATCACTAATATTTATTTATATCGATTATTTTATTTTAATACAAAAAAAATTCGAAATCACTATATGCCCTATATCCCTATGAGATAACTTTTAGAGAGAGTTTAAATATTCTCTCAGGGAAGATACTGTGAAACACGATCAAGGTAACATTGAAGTTGATTATCGGCTAAATTATTACTAATATTTCGAAAATATTGTTTATAATATGGATCAAGACATTGTATGTATAACAGTTTTTCTATCAATGAGTGAAAGCTTTATGCTTTGATAATAATTTCACGATTGCGCGGTTCAAATCTTTTAATTTTATCAAAATTTTCGTTCGTTCAGTTTGTATGATAGCTATATCGGCCTTTCCGACAAATGCGCAGCTTCTTGGTGAGAAAAGGTCAGGTGCTAAATTTCAGATCGATATTTCAAAAACTGAGGGCCTAGATCGTAAAAATACAGACGTACAGATGGACAAGGCTAAATCGACTAAGCTCGTTATATTAACCATTTATATACATATGTATGTACTTTATAGAGTCTCTGACGTTTGCTTTTGGGTTTTACAAATTTCGTGGCAAACTTAATATGGTACCTTGTTCAGGGTATAATTAGTCTCAAGATAGAAATATCAACATTTGATAAATGTTGGTGACACTTAAGCGCAACCAGTTTTCGAACGCAATAAGACGGTAACGATATACAATATACCATATATGTATACATATGTACGTATATACACATTATTTCGAGTGCAGGCCAGAAGTCAATGCCGAGTTTTAAGGCGCAAAATTGTGGCTTAACCACTTGACTTCAAAGCACTTCGGTACAGTTACCAAGTAAAACGTTTAAAATGAAAAAGTAAGTATTTTTTCAAATCTTATTGAAGTCGCAATTGTTATTTGTTATAAATATTTATGAATATTTTTTTTTATAATATTTAGTACCTGATTTCTTTATTCAACTACACTTGTTAGAATTTCGCCTCACCTTAAACTCTTGCTGTTTAACTTTTATTTTTATATAGAAATGTGTGTATGTTTATTAAGCGGCGTAGGTGTTGTTGTCTGCAGGTAATTATTGCAATTTTATTTACTTAACGTCTGCGCGCCAACTTCATCGACGATGCACAATACAAAACTGAACTAAACGACTGTTGAACACAAACTGTTTATAAACTGTATTTACTCACATCTGCGGTGATCAGGTGTAGCCGCCCACCGCGCCATTTACCGCTTAAATCTGTAACCTGTCTCTGCGTTGTAACGTGAGAATCAATCCATTTGCTCGCATTCTAAGTTATACCAACTTTTGAGCAGTTGGGTAAGCAAATAACTCGTCGTCGTGCTGTTGTGTTCTCTTGCATTCGGCACTTGCAATAAAAACGAATAATTTTTTTTTTATTATAAAACAAATAAATTAGCGGAATCGACATGTAGTGGATAGCGGTATAGGTGAGTGAGATTATATTGCTTGCTGTGAGTGGCGTTGAGTTGCGTTGAGAATTGCAAGAGTGCTGAGAGAGTAGAGTTTTAAAGAGCGTACTCTGTTTAACTGTTGATCGTGATTTGTAATAATGCAATTAATACATACATATTCGCAACCTGTATTTACATAAAAAATAAAGTAAAACGAATAAGGTGGACTTAACTTCATTCGGAAATGAAAATTAAATACGCTCTCAAGGAGTAAGGGTTAAAGGAGTATGAACGAATTTTAAATTTCATCACAAATTTATAATTTCCGTAAACAGTTTTCGTTGTTAGATGAGAAAAAAGATCAAAATCTGGGTATATGTCAAATTTCCTTATGCCTAGTAAGTTTCATTACGATACTTTATATTATATATTAACCGAAATATCTACTTTAAGTTACCACGGATAAGGAAAACGAAAGTGTTGATAACTTTCACTCTAGAACTACGAAGATTTTCGATATATCTATTCAAATAGGTTTCTCTCTCTCTGAAAATTACAATAGAAGCGTAAGAAAAAAATAATCTATAATTTTATTCTATACACAAATTTATAATATATATATCATAAAAATCATGTCATTATCGTAAAATATTAAATAGGAATAAAGAGGAAATCATATAAATAAATAATGCAACCGGTCATTTTGACCGGTTCATAGTTCTAGTGTTAAAGATAATAAAGGTCATATCAAGATATGTTTTTTCTTAACATTAACTGTTCGTAACACCACGGGTGTATAGACAGAGAGACATTTGGAAACCAGTCAACCACCCGAAACATATTATACATAACATTACATAAGTGTGTACATATGTATACCTGGATTATTTTCAGATGTTACCGTTGTGGAAACAAAACCATAAGACTTTTATGAAATATGTTACGAGTGTATAAAAAGTAACGAATGTGAAATAATCTTTTTATATAGCGCCGCATGTTTAGTTTATCATCTGCAACTTTTATAGCCATTTTGTATCGAAAGAAGATTAGATTAATTTTGATTAACGACGGCTTTTAGAAAAGATTATTTCCTAAATGTAAATAGTTAGTTAAAACTTCAATTGTGTCCTTTGTTTTTGGGGAAACTTAATAAATTGCTATTTAAACTATCAATATTACTTTAGATCAAGAAGTGTAGGCGAATATCTTTGTTATTTCAGCTATGAGATATGCAGTTCTAATGATTTAATGCAGTTCTGTGTTACTTCTACAACTTCCTTATAAGTATGAGAGATTTATTAAAGCATTTCCGGCCTAATATGCGTAAATATTCAACAAAGCAAATAACATAGTTACATATAAGACTGCTTATGTAATATTTACTAAATACACTATAATATTTATACTATATAATATTTACAAGTGCACAAGTTAATGACTACCTAATCGTTCAAGTATGGATGCATATGAGCATGTTTAAACAAATATTTACTTACCTGTGTTTACTAAACGTATGTAGTACATGCCAGCTTATATACATAAGTATACAGCGTGCTCGGACTAGAATATAGAAATGTAAACATTAAATAACTTAGAAAAACCAACTACCTCTCATATTTAGATATTTATATTTACTTTGAACCTTTACAATTTATTCCGATGAATTTTTGAATACAGTATTCATCAATTGAAAGTTTTTTTCATGGTAAAAAAAAACTTTTTTTTGGGTTTTTCCATTACAACATCTTGAGTGGTATATCGATCGAGCGTTATGGGCGTACACTTTGCTTTTCAAATAATCTCACCAAACGAAGACAGGAGACACAAATCTCGCTATCTGGGTCTATCCAGTCAGTCTCTTTGACAACGTACGCGACAGCTTTAAAATATTTCAAACGACAATCGACGATCGGTCTGCAATAGTTTTTGTACTCTGAATGGGGTATATTTAGATTGCTACTAAGCTTGTAACACTTTGAAGGAAACTTCTTATAAAATATCCATATAAATGAGCAGTATAAATGATGATCGATTTAGCCATGCCCATCTGTCTGTATATATGCGAACTAGTCTCTCAATTTTTGAGATATCGATCTGACATTTCACAGACGTTATTTCTTCCCCAATAAGCTGCTCACTTGTCGAAGCCACCAATATCGGCCCACTATAGCATGTAGCTGTCACACATACTGAACGATCAAAATAAAGCTCTTGTATGAAAAACTCTTTTATTTGACGAGTTATTTTTATGAAATTTGGCATAGACTATTGGCAGAGGCAACGCTACAATCTCTGAAAGAAATGGTTCAGATTGAACCACTATAGCTTATAGCTGCTAAGCAAATAGACCAATCAAAATCAAGTTCTTTGGAAACTTTTTAATTTGTGAAGAGTATACTAGCTTCGGTGCAACCGAAGTTAACGTTTTTTCAAGTTTCGTTTTATATGGAAACCTATTTTAAATATTGTTCCGAAACGCGTTTCAAAATTGATTGTAATAGAATATGGGCAACGTTCTCTCCGACAGCTTCAATCGACTGCATTGAGTGACGAAATTCATAGTTAAAATTAAACTATACTTCAATATATACTTATCGACTTGGAATATGACACACCCTGTATTTATGTAAATATGCGGGATTGATAGAAAATAATGAGTGCGTGTTTATGACCAAGTGTAAATTAAATGCCACGGGCGCGTAGCGAAGAACATTGTAAAATGTGCGAAACGTGCAATGCAACGCAAATTTCTTAAAGTATTCCAAATTGCAGCGAAGTTGCTTGCAAAATATATAGATAACATTTTTCCGTTGTTTATACTGCTTTAGGCTTCGTGGGCTTTAAAGTATTACCTGCATAGATAAAAATATTAATAAAATTAATTATTAATAAAATTAGTATTATAATTTTTGTTTGTGATTTTATTGTGTATTTACATTTAAAATTATTTTGTTATTACGAAATGTGCTAAAAACATTATTTGTACAATTTAATTGAGTTCAAAATACATATTATTGCGAATTAGTTAATAAATATTTGCATATATTATATACTTATATATGATTAAGTAAAGCATTTATAAAATTTAGCATACCCTAACTTCCCTAAGTACTTAATTCTAAACATTGCAATATTTTTAAATATTTGGTAAACAATTTTTTCTTTTAAAAACTAATATAAATCTTGCACGCGTCCGCCTAAAATAATTTCATGATTATTTTTCGATAGCTATTTGGCTTATAAATTAAATAAGCCTCCCCCCTTACCCCCTCACTAGTAATGTGTCTCTTCGTTGCGCTTAAAGAGAACATTCAGCAATTTTCATATGTTCGCACGCGGCCTACCCAACGACGCCGTTTGTAGGGGGCTACAATTCTCAAAGAGTATCGTAGCCTCGCGTTCACCTGGCGACTTATCGTTGATGTGCGCCCGTTTCATGGGACGCTTTCGTTCCGCATCGCAGTTGGGGGACAATTCGACAGTTTGCAGACTTTGCGCGCGTTGCAGCGATAAACGCAACGGTTTCTTCGGTGGTGTGGGTCGAACAGCGCGCACTTCTGAAATAGTATCGCTAATAGGTTTGGACTCGTTATCACTGTCGAAATCCAGCGATTTGACACTGCGCATATCGGCTGGCACATGTGAGTGCGTATTCGCTGTGGCAGAACAATCGCGACGACGTTCCATGCTGTGAGACAGAGAGAGAGAGAGAGAGAGAGAGAAATAAAAAGAGTTTGTTATTATAGAAAATTTAGAAAATATTATTTGGAGAATTTGAAAATCTGAACATACCCATTATAGTGATTCAAATGTTCCACGCTGCGCGCATGCATATTCGCGCGATGCTGTAACGCGCTCGCCTTGCTTGTCGAACGCTCGTAACGCTCACGCTCACGTTCGCGCGCATGTCGCTCCTTCTCACTGCGTCGATAATGGGTGTGTTGCATGTACGCAGAGTCGCTGTTGATCGAGATCTTGGAGGCGGACAAGGATTTCGGTGGCATGCAGGTATAGGCCGGTGGTGCGGATGCACGTGGTGTACGCTCTTGATGTAGATCCAGTTGTGTATTCTCCTTGATCAGTGTTTTAGTGACATGCGCCACAGAGTTACTTTTGCTCAAAGCATTTTGGGTATTATTCTCACCGATCAATTCAATTGGTTTGCCACCAACTAGTGTTGTAATATAGTTGCCACGTTGGAAAATTAACGGTTTATTGTCGGGCGGTGTCGAGGGTGGTGACGATATGCTGATGCTAGTCACATGGCTATTCGTACCGTTATTTATATGCGCCGCCGTCGTTTGGTTTTGTGGTGTTTGTGGCATAGCTTGTGGCTGTTGCGGTTGTGGCTGCTCTTTCGCCGATTGTAATTCACGCACTTGCTCCTCGAGATAGGAGATACGATGCTGTAGGCGCATATTGTTCTGTTTCTCCTGATCTAACTGTTTTTGTGGTATTGGCGCACATTTCTTGCGCAGAACCACAATTTGACATTTCCCTGAATTGCCGATGACTTTCTGCAGTTCTTCCTTGGTGCGACAGGCGATCATCTTGCCATTGACCTCGAGTATGCGATCACCTTTGTAGAGTCCATCACCTTCGAGCGCCCATTCGACATAGAAACCGGGCTGATCGGACTTGGTGTGCGCGGCCCAGCGTCCCGTGGTCGCATGCACAGCGTGTAAGCTTAGCGTGGCGCCGGAATTGAGAATGCTACAGGTAGTTGAAAAATATTAGTAAATTGTTGTTATCTCGGTTCAGAAAATCTCTGACTCACTTATAAATGGTTTGTAATTCCGGCTTTGATTTCTCTAAGCGCGCTTGCAAAGCTCGCGCCTCCTCCACAATCGATAGCATCTGCAATTCCTCACGCCCCAGTGCATACTCCAATTCCGCCTGCCGTATGCGTATATCGATATTACTGTAAAGTTATTAAGAAAAAGTATTAAATTAGTAAAAAGTAATACATTTTGACTTTAATAGCTCTCATTAAACTCCTTCAACTTACTCTGTAATATCCAGTTTCTCCAGCGCACTTTTCAAATTCTTGATTTTGATTTTCTTATTCTCCGCTTCGGCTTTCAATCTCTGTAGTTTTTGCTCTGCTGCCGGCTTTTCGCTGTCATCGAGTGGTGGTCCAGTAGGGCGTGGCAATTTGCCCAAACACAATTGTATGCGTAGATTTTGTATAACAGCCTCGCGATCTTGCAGCGCCGAGCGTAGCTCTTTCGTTTCGCTGCGACACGAACGCGCGGAAAGTGTGCCGCCCAACGAGGAGACTTTGCGTCGTCGACCCGTCGTGGCGGCTTGCGTTTGTGCGCTATTAATAAGGTTTGCCTCGGCATCGGACATTTTCGTGTCGACATTTTTTTTATCGTTGTGTGTACTGTATTTATTGGAACGATGATTTAGAATTGTCTGAAAGTGAACAAAATGTTGGAAGTTAATTTTTTTAGTTTGAGGTAATAATTTTACAAGTATTTTATAATTTGAAAAATTGTTTGATTTTGAACCAAGTATTCAAATCAGCTTTTCGGAGTATTTTTCTGAACTAAAATGTGCGAAAATGTAAAGAATGTATTATAAATATTCAAGCAACGCCACAACGATTCGTCCAAAAAGAGGAATGAGTCTAATGATATTTGATGAATATCCTTAAGTATAGAACCGAAAATTCATAGTCGGGAATCCATCTTTGAAATTTTTTTTGTTAAACCACACTTTATTTCCTGGTAGTCATATAACTGTTGAAGCAAATATTTAGTATTAAAATAAGATAGTGAATAAATATTTCAACTGTTTATGTTTCCATACTCTTTGTCGCAGCTTTTGCATAGTCAACCCGCTTTTATATTTGATATTAACTTAACCTCAAAAATCACCCAATATAGCATTCATCAACTTCATGTTTCGTTCAAAACTACTTTCCACAAAACACCAGAAATGACATTTTTCCTAGATTATCAATGTTTATCATATTATAGCCAATAATTAAAATTTTTGAATTAAAATATATTTAAGCATTATTTTACAATATTTTATATATATAAAGGTATTTATTTTTGAAGAAACGTTTACAAAGCTTGCTGTCTACTAACAGCAATGCTCTTCAGATATTTGAGTCTACCACGACTCGGTGGTTCTCCACTTTACAAAAAAGTAGGACCACCTTTCAGCAGCGAATAAAACACAGTTTGCTTTTTAACAGAAACAAGACAGTTATTCCTTTGGAATATCATAGACGCCACATTCACGATTTGCTGGTACGAAAACATCTGAGAAATACAAAAAAAATATCAAAAATTGTTTTACAAAATTAATAAAGAATTGCAAAGTACCGATTTTCTTAGGATAAGGCAAATTCAAGTTATTCATAATATTAATAAATTCCTCTTTCGTTTTGGTCAAGCGTGGATTATAGGTTTTCTCCTCCCACACGCTGCTCTCCATTGTGCCTCTGAAAAAGTTAAAAAAAAAAAATTATCGAACTTTTTTCAAATAAATTACGTTTTTCTACTCACTTGTAATCATGTGCTGGATATATGCGGGTATTCTCTGGCAATGTAAAAATTTTACTATGCACATTATCATACAGGTGGCCAGCATCACCTTCTTGGAAGTCCGTACGTCCACAACCGCGTATCAGCACTGTATCACCGGTGAAAATGCAACCCTGTTCATGTATCACATACGACATACAGCCATTGGTGTGTCCCGGTGTGGCTAATGTATCGATGCGATGACGTCCGAATGTAACGGGATCACCTTCGTTGAGGTGTATATCTGCTTTGGCACCGCTCGCTTTGGCAATCACCGACTTGCTGCCGGGCAACAGTTGCTTGAGCCAACCGCTGCCGGTGATGTGATCCGCGTGCATGTGTGTGTTCACTGTTTAGGGGAATATTAGATGTGTAAATATATATGTATTTGGATTTTGAGTGATTGATATCTAATTTGTTTACTGTTTGACCATTTAGTTGCCATTGGTGAAGTCTACCCTATAATCCAATATTTTGCGCTATATTATATAATATTTAAAGCTACCTTGTATATCTTTAAAATCGAATGTATGCATATAATGTAAACTGCAAAGTGTCTTCAGGAATATATTACTGCATTTCAAAAGCAACTGTACTACTTACTAAGGGGTAAGGGGTATACCTAATTCAACTTTAACTACCCATTAAATAATTGTAAATAATTTCCCTAACGAAGTCTTTCGTGAGATTGATTGGTTTATGAATTAAATATGTATTTTAATGTATATAATTTATTATAATAGATCTGTCAATTTCAATTTGACAAGTTAAATTAAATTTGAAAATAATTTTCCCGTAATTAACAAATTTTCGAAATTAATGGTTCGAAATAATGAATCATATACTATGGTATATATATATATACATATGTAAAAATATATCTTGTTCTTAAAACTCATATTTTTTTCACTTCTATTAAAAACATTATGTTTTCATAAATAGATTTATAGCTAGCCATAAAAAACGAGTAAATATGACAAACAATTTTAAGAACTTCCAAAATGCGAAAAAAAAGGAAAATGTCCTTAAACGTGATATTTTAAATCGATAAATTTATTACTGAGACTAAAACTGTAACTTTTCTAAGTCTTCTATAATACGCTGAGCTCTCACTGTCTAACTCCCAACATACCTTTAATTCTGCTTATCCGACCTATGAGAGATGTATTTTAAGCTTCGGTTTTTCTAAAATGCTTTCAGTCATTTATCCGAATTTCCGATTTCCGAAATTGCTATTACTGACCAAAACTAGCAGTGAGCAGTGTAGTTTTTGGAAGCGCTAGTCTGGTTTTCTGTTTTCCTAATAATAAGACTAGGCACACTAGCACACTCCTGGGAACATTGCAATGATATGAAAAATTCAACAAAATAGTAATGGAGCCTGTGGTTTATCTACTTGTTATTTTATTGCTGAGCTCATTCTGTTTTAATGCAAAATCATAATGATGAATCAAATTTACTGAATTTATCAGAACACTGCTGGGTATTGATTCTATTAATAAGAAGTGCACTGAAGCCTCCTAATAATGCGCGAATTACATAACATTTTATATCACGGCATGTTCTTTCAAGCAATAAATAAATTTTAATTGTATTCTTTCTGAGAACTGTACAGAAAATGCAGGTAATAAGGGGTAAACAATGATTGCAATTACTATTAGTAATAATAAAAACGCAATGTAGTTTCCGATTTAGTAAGATGAGGCGTGGGCTTTGGGCGTTTTACTAACACTACATTTGTTATTATTTTCTCTAATTCTTACTTACTTATGAAACTTACGTTTACATCAGTCTTGAAAATATTTTTGCTCACTTTTATTCTACTCTTCCACTCCAATATTATATTTAACATTAGAAAAACAAAAAAATATACACTACAATTAAATATTCTCAACATTTTGCCCTTATTTATTTAAAGTTTCGATTTACCCAAACAAAAATTGCCTTGTCTGAACACAATTTAATAACATCTCCTCTAATTGAGCGCTCTATTGTCAGCTTATGCAAGTATCAAGTAAAATAAATAACACGCAAACCGATTTTTTTATTACCCATTGTTGATAAGTGAAATATGTAGACTTTTTCATTGACCAATTTAAATGTATGTAAATATTTGTAAATGATAACTTTACACACATCTTCTAAACTACAAGTACATAGCACAGCGAGTGACCAGCACTTTTTCGCCACTAAATTATGAAATCTATTTTGAGTGGAGGATTTCATCACAGAACTCTAAAATTACGTTGCCTACATATTAAAAATTCATTAGCGATAACAACAACTACAACATCCCCGAGCAAAAAAATTGCTTTGTTTTTAAACTTCTCAAATTCATACTCACAGGCATATTTAAGTGTAAAACCCAGTTCCTTAACTAGATTTGCATCACGTTTCGCCTTCTCCAGTACTGGATCAATAATCACCGCCTCTCTGGTATTCAAATCGGCCAGCAGGTATGTGTAGGTCCAGGTAGCCTCATCGAAGAGCTGTTCCAAAATATTTTTGACGTATAATTTTCATTTAAGAATTTTTTTCTTATATTTCACTCACCTGACGGAAGAAGAAATCTTTTGTAAATGGTGCCGGAGAAACCATTTTACTGATATCACTATGCTTTAGACGATATTGTTGTAGTATAAGCGGTGTCACACTTGTATTTTGTACTTGTTGCAATAGTGTTTGGCGAAAAGCCGACAGCATACTAAATGTTCGCAGTCGCATGTTGTTGCGTTTTTATTGCAGTCAAATAATATGCTTACTATTTCCTAATGACTTGACGTTTGTTGAGTGTGTTTTGTATGACTATGTAAGAGAATGTCACTCAGAGCGACAATTGTCAGCTGTTAGAAGAGGAGGTGATCGTTGTATATACATATATTTGTATGTGGAAAGTGGATTACAAACAACGATATCTAAAACAAACAATAAAGAGTAAGGAATGCCATAATTCAGGCGGAAACGAGCGACATATCAGCCAGCGCTGAATTGAGTTTATTCGCAATTTCAGAATCTTTTTTTTAAGTACTTTTGATTTCACCTGATTCTGAGTAAATGTATAGGTATATACTATATAGGCCACACATAGGCAACAAATTTCGTGGATACATCTCACTTACCATATACATATGTATCCAAAATATATGGATAAGCATATGTACATATATATTTTATACCTATACTTTTGCCGGCAGTTTGGTTGGGTCATTTCACATCTTTGTAAAGAGTATTGAAGCATCTAAAAATTTAAAACCATCTCCAAGATGATGATAGAGATATAAGAAAGAAATTATGCAATTAACTGCCTAGGAGTGACCGCTATAAAAAAATATGATTTTAAATTATGTATTCAGTCACCAGTAAGTGATCTCTACTATGATAACTCCCATATTTCACTAAGTCTGGGTTATTTTTGTAACATCTAGTTGACAGATAGAACTCAATGTGCTGGGGAAAAGTTTAATATGCGAACTAGTCCATAAATTTTTGAGATATCGATCTGAAATTGTGCACACATTCTTTAGTACCAAAGAAGCTACACATTTGTCCGAACCGTCGACATCGAATTGCTATAACATAGCATAGCTGTCAAACTGAACGATCAAAATCAATTTCTTGTATGAAAATTTTTTTTATCTGATAGGATATTTGCACGAAATTCGGCATGAATTATTGTCTAAGGTAACGCTACAATCTACGCAAAAATTGTTCAGATCAGACCACTAAAGCATATAGTTATCATACCAACTGAGCAACAACGAGATAAATTGTGCTGGAATACATATACTCAAAACTTGCTTTTTGACGTGGTTATGCTCTCCTCGTGGGAGCTCAATTTATTCTATCTACAATACATATGACTGCTGAAAGCGTATATTATATATACATATATATATTTATATACAACTTTTTATTATCTATTCGTGGAGTGAATTTTTTAATTTTATTAATGTGTATACATTACATACGTGTGTAGAGATATTAATATTTATATAAATATGTGCGTATAAACCTATTGTTGTAGCCACGCGTAGCCGGCTGTTTATTGTTTTCTTTTTCTTACTTTCTGAAAACTTGCGCCATTTGTTTGTATTCTTTATTTGTTGTTGACTAGCAAATACGTCTGAGAATACCAATAACCAAACGTAATCATTTCAAGAAATTAATCAATCTATTATCATTATCATATTTTGCTGTCAATTCATTGCTTTTGTTAAGCATATGGTACAAATATGTCGTTTATGTTCTTTACTCCTTTGTTCACTTACATTTTATTGAAAAGTAAAAGCACACACATTAAAATCAATCACAAAAGCTTTTGATAATATTTTTAATAAACATTTTATTATATATTTTTACGCAATTTTAACACTTATTTACACAAAAACAATTGACACATGTGTTAAATACACGAGCTTACTCTCCGAAAAGCAACTGCGGTCTCGACCAGTGGCGTAACAAATGCTAGCTAAACACCGAACAAGTGACTCATATGTCAAACGTAATACTCATATAATTTTATAGTAAGCAAAAGCTCCCATAAAAGCTGGCAAAAGTTTATTATTTCTGTATTTTTAATTTTTTTCATATTTTCTTAGCGCTTTTCAGCTCAACCACTTTATAGACTGTTTGAATGACGTTGAAGCAGAGAATATTAATAAATAGATTTATTATAAAATATAATTAAATTTATTTAACATTATCTGGTTAAAGCGCTTTTGACGCGGAAAACTTTGGCAAGTTGAAAGAAAACTAAAGTTTACACCTTAGTTTATGTTTAAAAGTTGACATTATTTTGCTCTCTTTTACATATCTTCATTCGAGTTTACACCTATTAGTTAGTTTTGAAAAAGCTCTAAAATTAATTAACAACTATTAAAATCAATTAAAAAACCGGAAATAGAGATCGCTAACGACATATAATCATTTTACCACCAATTTATAAAAATATATGAAAATATTAGTTAACAGTAACACTTCAGTTTACTGTTGCTTAAACAAAAATTTGACATATCATAAACTATAGAATAAACCAGCTCTATCTACTTTAAAAATCGTATATATTACTATCAGGATTACTAAAGGATTGCTAAAAATGAGCTCTTTACTGTTTTTCTCATTAATAGTTTTCTTATTATTTTCACTATTACCTTCGGCAATCTGAACACACCCCACCAATTTTTATAGCTGCAGTGTAAATTATAGTATTTGTGATATAAGTGCATTTAGTCGTATGACAAGGTGCTTAACATTATAGTATTTTACCGTCTAAAGTTTTCGTTAAGTCGATAGCAAGCAAGCATTTCATCAATAATGAATTTGTGTCGTGAAATACCACTGCTCCAAGCTTTTGCACTTTTAACTTTATACACTGAAGCGTGTTTATACCTAAATTGATAGCAAATATTTTAAGAATACTTTACTTTTTTCACCTGCGTTAAAACCGAAAAGTGGCTACAATAAATGTTTTATGTCAGCGTTTGAATGGTAACGAAATACGATAAAAAAGTTCAAAGAACTTCGCTACGCAATTTTACTATGAATCTAATGGAACTGAGGGATTTATTCTCGAGAAACTTTCGAAATGTCAATAACTTTAGGAAGTGTAATAGAACACATATCTGCAGCTTCCATATAACTGAGAAAAATCTTTAATAATTGATTAAAGGACATATCTACTGGTATATAAGGGTATATATTAATACACATAATTTAAGAATACATCGTAAAATTTTTGAAGAAAAAATAAATAAAATATTGCTTCGTGGATAATACCTAAAAACAGAAAACTCTCGATAGATACAAGATTGTCCGAATAATAGCCTACAGTCGAAAAAACTATTGAGGAAAAAATGGCGGCGTTTTAAACAAAATTGAAATTTACCCAAAATGTTGGTCGTTTCTGGATTTTTAATTTAGCTATCAAATAAATAGGTCATTGTATGAGGAACACGTTATATACAGAATATGCAGAAAAAATTTGCTATTGCTTTGATGAATATATTTTTTTTTTTTTTTGGCTACTTCTGAAGCGTATGTGGGAGCATCAAAACTACTTGTAGACTACCACATATAACACAACCCAATAGAACCCATTATAGTAGCTCTTTTACTATGATGTTCGGGTCCCTTTTTGGAACGGACCCAGTTTTATGACCAGTCAAGAGTAATCAAAAAGAGTTTTTGGAAATAACTCTAACTCTTCCAGTTGAAAAGCCTCCCCTCTTAACGTGCAAAATAAATTGTATATAAAGTTAAAAGTGCAAAAGCTTGGAGCAGTGGTATTTGTTTATCTTTAGGCAACGAAATTCACAACTTTCTGGCCGACACAAATTCATTATTGATGAAATGCTTGCTTGCTATCGCCTTAACGAAAACTTTAGACGGTAAAATACTATAATGTTAAGCACCTTGTCATACGACTAAATGCACTTATATCACAAATACTATAATTTACGCTTTCTACGTTGTTATCACTTTCGGTTTTAATGCAGATATTTAATTCTGCTTAGTCATGCGCTACTAGCAAGTTCAATTGATGAATCAAGAATTATTAATGCGATGCTTTTGATTTGCTTTGGTCTAAACTGATGAAGTGTGTGGCACTTGAACTTCAAAATAATTTTAAAAAATAATAAAAAGAAATCGAATGAAAGCGAAATTCGAATAATAACAGTTTTAAGTGCCGCTACACACATTTTGGTTTTCCGTTTCCTGCATTGCACTCGTGTATCGATCGTTTAGTCAATGTGTATGTGTAGTAAAATATCGTTTAATGACGATGTAATCATAAATACAAATTAGTATTGCGTTTTTTATGATCACTTTTTTCGTAGTAAACACATTATTATTATTACTATTGTATTTGTTATTGCTTTTAGTATTGCTGTTAATATGGTAAATCTAATATAGTATTCAAAACAGCACCCATGCCATATCGAATATAATTTACATATATATATGTTTGGTTCTCTAATTATTTTGATTGCTTGTATATATCATAGTTTGAGGAAATCGTAAATATTCGGTACAGTATATACCACTTCATTACTATATACAAGTTGCTTAATTTTTGAAACGAATAACTGGTGAATAATTAAATTGAATGCACAAATATCGAGAGAAAATATTGGCTGGTATATAAGTCTTTCTTCATTTTTCTATTAAATTCAATTAATCTCTTAGATTCCAAATGAAAAAAAATAAAAATAAAAAACTTTACTGATAGCTTTTTAACACTAAAATATTTTGAATAGACAATTATAACAAAAGCTATAGAATTTCTCATATAGAACAACCTACTGATATTAGATATTATTAGTTACCTAATAGAGATAATGTCGAGGTGACAATACTTTAAAGGCTGGTTCTATTGCATGAAACATAAATAAACAAGTAACGCTTATGTAGTCTGCATAAGTGATAGCTTTGGCTCACTCAGGACTATATTTAGTGGCTGATATTCGACCGCTTATTCGGTTGTTCTTGTGTTTTTTTTAGTCGTAAAGAGGCAACTCGTTTACAAAGCCAATAATATAATCCTCTAGCGACGAAACGATCTTTAGAAGTTTTAGTTTAGCCAGAACACCATAAGTGATGTATTCTTGGATATACAAAATTGTTTTGCTCAGTGATAGTGTCGATATTTTTAGTTAGACCTCTAGTTAATCTTTCTTTATTTCTGGGTGAAAAAAATTATGATAATTGTGGATTTGGCCTAATGCAAGTTTCTCTCTTTAAACTATCCTTATTAGCTAAAATGCACTGACTTTTATCTCGATAACACCTGTTTTAAACAGAAACTTTTTCCCGAGCTAAGTTCAAACAAGCAAATAAAATATTACTGTTATGATTTACTTTTACAATTACAAATGTAAATAGGTATCTTAAATGATGTAACAAGCTGAAAGCACTGTTTAATGATCTTGAATTTTCTAAACCTGCTTGTTTGTCACTAATTACTTAAATATATATTTAAATACTAGCAAAAATTTATTGTTGTAATGTTTTGACTACCTTAATTATGACATGCTCAATTAAACTTCTATTTACATATATAAATATTATTTTAGCATGTATGCACGACGATCAAAGGTCACATTTAATAAAAAAAAACAAAAATCGTTTTGTCGGCAATGCTATTAAAGTGTTGGTCTTTTAAGGTTATTTGGATTTTTTTCACGTAGTAAGTCTAAGAGCCTAAGAGAACACAAATATTATATTGATGGCAATAATTTACTAGAGGCTGTTAACCGTAAGGTAAATATTATATGGTTTTAAAAGTTCATTTCAACTTGACTATACCATGACAAAATATTTTTATATTCAAATAATAATTTCTACACTATTCTGGATACAAGATCTATGAAGATCGGTATAAAAACCAGAAAGCTTCAGATCAATAACTCAAAAACTGAGGAATTAGTTAGCGTATATACTGACAGACGAACCGTCTGTTTATTTTTCAAAATTTTGTCTAAAAACCCTCTACTTATTTCAACGAAATTTCGAAACTTGTTGATTCTAACGAAAGCTTTCGTGACTTAGCATTTCACATAATAGTTAGTGTAAATGAGAAATGATTGTTTGTTTTTGATACTAAATTTGTGAAGGGCTTTAAACTTAATACTTCATATCTATGTCTATACATACAGTAAAACTACTCTCTATTTCTATATGTCCCAGTATTTTACAACTCTTTATGCAGAGCTTTCCCCAATTTTGAATGGGAAACTATATACATATGTACGTGTATCGAAGAGATAAGCAATGATACTATTACTCCATAAAACAATTATGGCACACTTATGGAACAAGAGACCAAAAAATATCAGAAAATTGTATACACTAAATTTTATTTTTGTAATTTTTAAAAAGGCTGTGCAAACTATTTAAATGAAAAAGAGAGAATTTGTCAGATGTGTTCTCGAGCCAAAAGCGCGCTTTAGGAACTCTATGAGTTTAACGAATATGCAAGTCATTCTAGTAAATCTTAATACCTACATATGTACAAAAATTTGTCGTTCATATGACTGAGTATCGGAATGTTTATAGTGGACAGTTTGTCTCTTAAATAAATTAATTAAAAAAAAAAGCTCTTCGAAAACCAACTTTCTGAATGACACACATCCATACACCTACAAAGGGTTAAATCAACTATGAAACATCATCATACAATTTACGTTATTAATGCTAAAGCAAAGCTCTTTTCGAATAGTTATACGCCATACAGCGATCGGTTTAGACGTGCTGCGTACACATTGAATTCTTTAAAGCTCTCTATAGATAAATTAAGTGAAAATAGTTGAGTATAAAAAATTAACAAAGGCAAGATGTCAGCGACAACAGTGGCGCCTACAAAAGGTAATGCCGAATTGGTAACGTTTAAAAGCACAACGGAAACGACTAATAAGGATGGTGCAGCCAATGGCGCAACGAATGCTGAACGTCAAGTTCCCCCATGGCTAAAAGTGGAATTATTTGTAAATCTGCTGCAGAAAAACTTACCGAATTTTAAGAGTATTAAAAATTTCACTGCCAAACTCTCGGAAGGCGTTGGCGAAAATTACGCCACACTCTTGGCCTCGGTGAATTTAGATGCAGAGCTTGAAGGCAAGTAAAAATCAGTTTATTGCACTACTTGTGGGTGCATGTACCTACAATTAAAAAATTCTACTTGTTCGCATTTTAGATGGAAAAATACAAAATTATTCTTATATGATCAAATTGCCCATTGAAACGGTGCAGAAATTGAATAGTCATAATATTTTTGATACAGAAATTGTCATGTATAAAGATGTGATACCGGAAATGGAGAAAATGTATAGTGATGCAGGTGTTGAAGTGAAATTCACAACAAAATATTATGAACTGGAGACGCCATCCGAATTCGGCGTTATACTGATGGAGGATTTACGTCCGCATGGCTTCAAAAATGTCAACCGTTTGGAAGGTTTCGACATGGAACACACGAAGAGCACACTGAAAAAATTGGCACAATGGCATGCCGCCTCAGCGGTGCGTGTTGAAACCAAGGGACAATATCCGAAAATAGTTGCTAATGGAATATTTACAGAGGACTTCTTACAAATAATGCAAGAGATAAGTAACTCTTCGAGGGAATTGTATATGGAATGTGTGCGCACGTATGAAGGTCATGAAGAATACTACGATAGTTTGGTATGCACCGAGGCTTTAAATTTATTTATAAAATGTGTTTTTATACTCTCGCAACTTGTTGCTACGGAGTATAATAGTTTTGTTCATCTAACGGTTGTTTGTATCACCTAAAACTAATCGAGTTAGATATAGGATTATATATATATAATTGATCAGGATGAAGAGACGAGTTGAAATCCGGGTGACTGTCTGTTCGTCTGTCCGTCCGTCCGTCCGTCCGTCCGTCCGTCCGTCCGTGCAAGCTGTAACTTGAGTAAAAATTGAGATATCTTCATGAAACTTGGTACACATATTTCTTGGTACCGTAAGACGGTTGGTATTGCAGATGGGCATAATCGGACCACTGCCACGCCCACAAAACGCCATTAATCAAAAACAAATAAATTGCCATAACTAAGCTCCGCAATAAGGATCACATTATCTTTGAGATGGCTTATAATATTTCCCTATTTCCCATATAACACCATTTTCAATTCCATCTGATTCTTACACTTTCCACTATGCATATCAAGCAACAATGATTATATCTGGGTAAAACTTTGCATGAATAATACGTTTAAAGTATGCCACTTTGTGACCAAAAATTGTCTAAATCGAACCAAAACTGTTCAAGCCCCTAGGTACTGAATATGTGGACCCCAGTACCTATAGTTGACCTTCTACCGAAAATATCAGTCAATCCACAAAGAAATCTCAAACGAGTATACCATTTGACTTTGCGAGAGTATAAAATGTTTGGTTACATCCGAACTTAGCTCTTCCTTACTTGTTTTTAAATAAATTTGTTTTTTTTATTTAGCAACGAAGCCGTGAGAACTTTTTTGACGAATTTTGTTCGCTGTTGAAGATCGATCCAAATGAGTTCAACGTTTTAAATCATGGTGATTTTTGGGCCAACAACATTATGTTCCAACATGATGACGCGGGTAAACTTAAGGAAACATATTTCATCGACTTTCAGTTGACGCGTTATGGTTCACCGATAAATGATCTGTATACTTTGCTGCTGTCGTCAACAAACTTGGATATAAAGTTAAAACATTTCGATTATTTTATTAAATACTATCATGATAATTTGATTGAGTGCTTGAAATTACTGAAATATCCCAAAAAATTACCCAATGTAAAGGAACTCCACATAGCCTTACTTAAATATGGCACTTTTGGTGAGTAAAAAATGAAATATAAAATGGTATTTAATAAAGCTCTATAATATTCTTTGTTTTTTCTCCACAGCCATGAACACAATTACTAGTCATTTGTCCATCGTGCTACTCGATCCAACTAAGGCAGCTGATATAAGCAATTTAATTAGCAATACAGAAGAGGGCATGGCATTTAAAAAGGTGATGTATACAAATCTACGTTATCGGAGACACATTGAAGCGCTACTTCCTTGGCTTTATAATCGTGGTGCCTTTTAGTGATAAAATAGGGTACAAGAAGTTGATCCTTATATTATTGATTTATGTAGCCAGAATATACACGTATAGCAAATATTTAATTTTAATTGAAATAAAAATATATGCATACGAAATTAAGTTTAATTAATTTTCAATTGTGAAAGTTGTTTTTGGTTCAATGAAGGAAGCTATTGTACTTTATAAATTTTATGAGAATATGAAAAACACAAACTAAAATAAATAATAATAACAGCGTTAAACACTGTTTTTGTCACACGGACTTTGTGATGATTTTGATCTTACGATTCTAAATCTTTTGAACACAGACACGTACGTGATCGTCTAAGATATATTGTATCAATCAATACTTTAGTCGTAGTGTTTTAGTAATCATATTAATTCTAAAATAATTTTTTTGTAAAATTTTATGCAAACGGTTTAGAGCTCTCTTAAAATTTTCTTGTCGGAAATGAAAAGGTTGTTTTGGATTTGAATCAAATTTGTTATAAAAAATAAATATTTTAAACTTACACAATAAAATCGGTTGCCGAAGCAAAGTTTGATAGAGCAAGAAAATCTGGACTTATATCGTATAGTACATAAAGATGTTTATATAAGCCAAAAGCGCTCAGTCACGCCTGTTTTTTCACTTTCATAAATACATACTACTATTTTGCTTATCTATCTACTAAGATCCATCGCAAAGTCATGCCTTTTGCACTATTTAAGAATGCCATTAAATTTCATCAGATTTCTACTCATTTCAAAGTATTCGATAATCACTATTTGTCTTAATAATTCCTAAACAATTTGCAAAATCATTCATTCCGGGCTGAAAGTGAAGTGAAGCTTACATACATATGAATAGTGTGAAATTAGCTAAGCTTTTTTGTTCCTTCTATTCAGTTCATTTCTACACCAGCACATGAAAAAGTTTGGCGCGTGTCACATGTGTAAATAAAGACTTTCTAAAGTGGTGCTAAAATTTTGTCACGAAGATGTTAAGTAATTTACCAATATTTATATTTTGCCTTTGAGTTCGAAATTTTAATCTTATCGCAATTATTTGACCGATAAAAATGCAATGCCATTGCGCTTGTTGCCAATACTTGATACAGTTGTTGTTATAAAATTTCACCACCGGGTATTCCATCTTATAAACGGAGTAAATTATTCATAAAAAAAAGTATTGGTTTCCTAATTGCTTTCTCTAAAAAGGACTGGCGTCAATAACAGTTCTCATAAACGAGTATATACGAATATCGATCGAAATAGGTTCTATACCAATCGCACTAGCTCTCGTGAAATTTGGGTAAAAAACAATGTTTTTACAAGTATTCATTGAGAGCCATTTCAGATTTCATATATTTCTGACTTAAATGAGCTCTTTCTTAAGTATTCACCTCTAATTGTATACTCTTTTTTGAGTGGGTTGCAAGGCCACGTTCGAACCATTAGTCAACAAATAGTTCGCCAGTGCTGAAGCCTTTGCAAGTGATAAAAAGTGAAAAAAGAAAAGGAAGATAAAGTAACAAAATTCAAAGAAAAATAATTTACGGGCGATCTGACGGCAGCGGAGTGGGGTTTTTAAATTATTAAGGTTAAAAACAGTTTATCATGATTTCCACCAAAACTATGAGTCCTATGGAAAAAAGCTGAATAGCAAAGTTGCATATAATAAAAATATCTACAACTTTGGTGTAAAAACTTTTTTCACATAACCTCAAAATTTATATGAAAATTCAAATAACCAAGTTTTTCAATGCAAAATATTTATTTTTTCACTTTATTTTGACTTAATATCGGAAAAGTACCCTAATTTCCTTCGAAAATTCTCACATCAAATAAAGTTGGTGAGCTGAAAATCTCTACTTTCCGATGGTATAAAAAATGTACACATTACTATCGTAAGTTTTCTCAGGAAATCCAAAAAAAGACGCCACTAAAGAGTTCAAAGCTCCTTATTTTATTTCATCTACCTGTTATTTCGAAGTAGCAGCTGTAAAAAAAGTGTTTCATATTACTATGATTTTCGTTTGGTTTCAAAAGATTCATATTTAATTATTCTGAAAACAACAATGTTTTCTAAACTCCATATCATTATAGCACCGAAAGAGATCTTGATATTCCAAGAGGTCCGCTCAAACGACAATACGTAAATATACATACATTACAGGTTGGTTGTAAAGTTCCTGCTCTCACCAAGAAATAGCACTACTACCACCAAATTTTTTTCTCAAGTTGGCACATGTGATGTGAGAAGTCATGCAAAGTTACAAGGTTTAAACAAAAACCGCAACCACACCAGAAATCATTGAGGAAGTTCATAATATTGTTAGTGAAGATCCTAGTTTGACTAAGCGTGAAATTGCCAATGCCATAGGCATCTCAGACGAATAAGTACTTCATATTTTATATGAAAAAGCTGTTTGTAAAGCTAGTACCGCACAAGTTAACAATTCAACAAAAAAACTGGATTTTTCAAACAAATTTCTCAGCATAATTTGGGGCGTTTTTAGAAAAATAAAACCGATTTATTGCGTTGTTAAGTAAATATGGATGAGACCTGGATCTACCACCATGTTCCTAAATTGAAACAAGAACGTTTACAGTGGACTGAAGCGGGTTGTTCAGCTCCAAAGCAGGTGAAGTCACAACGACCAGCAAAGATGGTTATGGCATCAGTTTTTTGGGATGCAAAAGGAATTTTGATGATTGATTATCTGCAGAAAGGTAAAATAATCAACTCTGAATATTATTGCAGTCTTTTTGATTAGCTGGATGAAAAAATTCTTGAGAAAAGACCTGGTTTGCAGCACAAAAACGATGTTTTAACAATGACAAAATTCAACGAATTAAAGTACGAGCATCCACCGTATTCACCAGACTTGGCTCTCAGCGGCTACTACCTCTTCAGAAACCTAAAACAAAACTTTCGTGGAAAGCGTTTTTCGTCGAACAAAGAAGCTATTACAGCCGTAGATGGGTATTTTGCAGAGCTTTCGGTAAGTATGGCATAAAATTATTGGAGGATTATTGGAATAAGCCAATATTTAAGTAATATCTTTTACTACAGCAATATAAACGGAGGTCAATTGTTAAGAAGTCTAACATAAACATTATTATAACTACCTTTTAGGACGACCCTAATTAACACCAGTATAAATTTCGGAAGTACATGCTTGTGTTGAACGTTGTTTTTGTCTTTATATTTTTTATTATATGTGAGGCTCTCTTGAGCATTATTTTAGAATCTTACTATCAACAAATCAAATGTGTGTTGCTCTCAAGAGAACTTTTCTGCAGCGACATATCAGTTCACAAAGCTCTACCAAATTTTCAAGCATTTTATATCTATGCATAAACATATGGTATATAGATTAGTATGAGCAATAGATGCAGCGGTCGTGAAGTGCAGTCCCACAATTAATACGCTATATAAATGCTAACGCAAAGCTTATTTCGAATAGTTCTAAAAAGTGCGCCGATCGTGGTAAATCACACTCTGCTAACGGTTCAAATTTGTTAGAAAATATTTTGTTGTTTTGTGAAAAGAGTGAAGAAAGACAACGTGAAAAGATGTCTACGGCAGGTGTGGTGAATGGTAAACAACAAACGGATACGCGTAAAAACGCGCCAGACGGCGGTAAGCCAAGAGCTAATGAGGCGGCAAATGCTGCGCGTCAAATCCCTGATTGGCTGAAAGCGGACCTATTTGTAGAACTGCTGCAGAAAAACATACCAAATTTTAAGTGCATTAAAAATTTCAAGGTGCGACCAGCACAAGCTGCTGGCGAAAATTATGCCACACTCATGGGCTTAGTGAGTATTGACGTAGAGCTGGAGTGTAAGTGAAAAAAATATTCAAGGATGTATATAAAAATAAAAAAAAAAACTCTTTTAAATTTTTATAATAGATGGTAATTCAAAGCAGGTATCATATATGATAAAGTTACCCATCGAATCCATACAAAAACTATTCGCCAGTCATAATATATTTGATACGGAACGCAGCATGTACATTGATGTGATACCGGAGTTGGAGCAAATGTATAGTGAAGCGGGTGTTGAGGTGAAGTTTTCACCACAATATTATGATATAGAGACGCCATCAGAATACGGCGTTATACTCATGGAGGATTTACGTCCGCGTGGTTTCAAAAATGCCAACCGCTTTGAGGGTTTCGACATGGAACACACAATGAATACACTGAAGAAGTTGGCACAATGGCATGCCGCTACAGCGGTGCGTTTTGAGACCAAAGGAAAATATCCCGATATTGTAACTGTTGGCATTTACAGCGAAGAGCTCATTGTCGCGTTGGAAAATTTGGATAAAACTGCGCCAAATGCGTTCTATGAGAGTGTACCCTTATATGAAGGCAGTGAGTTGTATATGGAGAGTTTGGTAAACACCACACGAGTTAAAACACAACTTATGGGTACAAGTACTTATTAATCTTTTTTTGTTGTTAGGAAAAATATCGTAGAAGCTTTTTTAATGACTTCCGCTTAGTAATGAAAATTGATTCGAATGAATTTAATGTTTTAAATCATGGCGATTTCTGGGCCAACAATATTATGTTTCAATATGATGCTTTCGGTAAAATTAAGGAAACATATTTCGTCGATTTTCAGTGTGCGCGTTATGGTTCACCGGTGAATGATTTGTATTGTTTCCTCATATCTTCCACCAGTCTTGATGTGAAGTTGAAACACTTCGATTACTTTATTAAGTACTATCATGACAATTTGATTGAGTGCTTGAAACTGCTGAAATATGCAAAGAAATTACCAACCTTGAAGGATGTCCAGATAGCGCTTCATAAGTACGCCGCATGGGGTGCGTGAACAGTGAAATTGAGAATTTAAATTGTTTTGACATAATATAAAACTAAATATACATTGTTTTTGCATTTCAGCTCTATATGAGCTTATGGGCCATATGTCGATTGTGCTAGTCGATCCGTCGGAAGCTGCTGATGTTAATAATTTAATGGGTAATACGCCTGAGGGCGAAGAATTTAAAAAGTCTATGTTTAGAAATGACCGATTTCGTAAACACGCCGAAGCCTTATTGCCATGGCTCTACAACCGTGGTGTATTTTAATGTTAAATCGGTCACTTATTGTTTATAATATATGTACATAAATGTAATGGTATTAATTGTTTAATAAATATATAAGTTATACTATGTAATGATATAACGGGTGTTTTTTTTTAGATGTGTGCCAATACTTTTATGCAGTTGGTCTGTTTGACAGCTCTTACTTGATTTATACTCAGTTTGCTCATGAATGACATGATAGAGCTGTCGAAACCCACATTTTTTATAACACTTGTCAATCATGCCACTGTCGAGAGAAAATGGATAGAGTATTTTATAAATAACTTTTGGGTATTTTGCATTCCGATATCATTTTAAGCTCCCCGATTTCCGCGTAGACCTATATCACGCATACTTGTATACGCGCTAAATACGTGTATTCATATTATAAAATTTTCAAAATCATATAACATAATAAAATAATAATATATATAAAAAAAAATATTAAAGAAACAATACAACTCATAATAAAATATCATGATTTTATGATTAACGTTTTAAATACAAATATTTCGAAATTATAACAAAGAATAGCCAGCAAACTTTAGTTATTCAAAAGTGTTTGTGTCGTTCGTTGAAATTTCGTTTCGCACTGCTTTTGTCAGCTACTTTTAGCGGGTTTATTTCTGGCGTCCCGCCTTTTTTAAAATCAGCTGTTCAAAATTCTCTAATCTTCATAATCAGGGAAAGAGTCCAAAGTACTTTGTAACAACGTTTGCAAAGCGTACAAACTTATTATCATTATCAAAATAATGATTCGGTTCGCGCGACATATCGCACGTTGCGTCCAATATTCGATTGACATAATTGCCATGCGTGCGCACTAAATACGATGTTGCTGCTGTGAAGCAAAGTATCGAAGAATACCTGAATTTGGCTATTCGCCTTCGCGCGCAACAATTGGTGCTTTGCACATCCGCTTTATGGAAGATTTTGCGGAGTGATGATAATACACAAGCCTTTGTTGATACGTTGTTATATCTTCAAAAATTCTCTATTTGGCGTGCTTTATGGGCAGTGGGAATCATTAGTCTTTAAAAATGAAGCCGATCATAATGTTACATGCAGTCAATGGGGAACGCTATAGAGCCACGATTAATGACGTTTTCGTCGCTGTATTGGAGGATGTTTATGTGGACGACCTTTGGTTCAACAAGATGGCGTACAGTCAACGAAACAATCAATTTATTGAAGGAAATTTTTGGTGAGCGCATTAACTCGTGTCCTCCAATAACATGCGATTGAACACCACTGGACTACTTTTTGTGGGGTTATGTGAAGTCGATTGTCTACGCAGTTAATTTTTCTATTTTCTTTGCTATATTTTGATAACGGAAATATGTACTATCTTATCTAGATTGAAAGATAAAAGTTTCATTCAAATTTTTATTAGTTGAAATTTTTGGTTCAATCAAAAGTTTGTGGGTGACGAAACAATTGATAATTTTTATTTACGAACTGTTTTTTGTTTTATTTTTATTTTGAATTATCTTATGTTTATTGTTTTTATTGCCGGCCTCCAAGTGTGAAAATAGTTTAATATAAGTATGGTTAAAAAGCAAATTGAAGAAGAACTGCTGAAAGACCAGATCATCTACTGATTTTTATAGCTGTAACAAAGATTACAAACATTAAACCTAATTAGCCTTTCAAAAAATACTTTAGAGAATTTTTCGTGTCGATGCAATACCAGTAACAACAGAGATTTTTTTAGTATTTTAGCATTGAATTGAAATATGTTCACAGAAATGGTACCACTAGTCAAGCTGATCAAGCTTCAAAACAACTTTTCATTCCTTCCTAGCTCAAGCGTATGCTTTTGTTCTCAAACTAATATTTTTATCAAGCAATTCAGCAACACTGCACTCAATAATAGCTATAATTTTCTTACAGCCTTAAGTAAATCGTTTAGTCAAGATGTAAATTTATAGGTTCCTTTACGCTACTCTCTTATTTGTACAAAAACTTGTTTCCTGTAACAAGTCTTAATGACGGGTTTGCAGCGTCTTCTCTACAAATTTTATACAAGCTATTGTACTCTATTGGTTTCCTAAATAAAGTTGAACCCTCAATATCTCAGCAAAAACGTCCACAGCTGGTATGCAGTTGCTGAAAGTATAATAAAAAGAAAGGCGACACTCCACTTTCGAACAATTAATATTTGCTTTTCTCATAAGAAAGAAAAGAAAAAAGTAAAAGTAAAGGAGGAAGGGTTGTTCACAAAGTGAATTCGTTCTGCAATCGATTAAGTTTTTGGAAAACCACTTTTGTGGATTTTATTTTTATTATGTCCTGTTTTTCAGGTATTTTTGTGGCTAAACTAATTGTGGGATCAGGCAATTTCACGGTTCATAAAGGTATTGTACGAAATAACAAAAAAAAAAATTTTGAAAATTGTTGATAGAAGAGGAGTGCATATAGGTATGTATATATTATATATAGTATATATGTATGTCTATTGCTAAGCTTGTTTAATTTTAATGGTTGGTTCTTACTATATTTATGGCACAATTATGATGCAACCATTGTAAAACGAATTATATCGACGGGTAAGATTCGCCACGACTTTGAAGTAAGATTAGTTTGAATAGTGGAAAATTCTATATCTCTATCTATCTTTTTTTTCAATTCTTCAATTTTATTTGCTGAAAGCATTGACAGAAAGTCATTAAAATCTGCATTTCTCCGGACCTTCCATAACGTTAGATAATATTAAAAACTTTTTTCAAAGTAAATATTCTATATAGTCCAAATAGTTTTTTTTTGAAAAATCATATATTCTGATGAAAATAGCAGATTAATAATTTTTGTGGACGGCGTTTGAGGGATTATTATTCGCGCTTGCGGATCGAGTTCCCTAATATTGTAGTTGTTATTGTAGCGGTTATCTAATTCCCGCTGAAGTGTTAAGGTTCAAATTGGTGGTCATCGAAGTCATCTAACGGTAGGCCCAGCAAAAGTGCTGTTTCGACGGGGTTGTAATATAAAGAGAAGGATCTTAGATGAATCGGATTTGTTGGGCATGCGAAGAGTTGATTAAGGTCATGCGGGGACTTATTGCACTGAGCACATTTAATATGTCGCGGCCGATTCTGGATAAGTAGGAGTTTAACTACAGCTACAGTATCCAGAACAAAGCTGTGCAAGGGTCACAACTCAAGCTCTTCATCTGCAAAGTAATCTAATCGCTACATGAAGTTCAATAATCGCTGACAAGACCTAAAATAATTGGAAACTGGAGAAAAAGAAAGTTTATTTTACGAATAAACCGAGAAAATTTCAAAATTTAAACCAATTTTGCATTAGAAATACTACAATAAATAATATAATTTCTTTTTGTATAATATTCTAAATAAATCATCACCTCTACAATGCTTAAGTTGTTGTATAGTATACATTTAGGCGTTCAAGTTTGCTATCAACAGATCATCATCTCGATTTGTGCTACTTACTGTTAACCGTAATGTTAAGCGTTTAGTTTAATTAAAGTTCAAACTCCGCGTAGTCTATAAAAGTCACCGTTTACAGTTACAGGTATTCGTCGAATTTAATTGTCAAGTTCAAGTGAGGCCAAGCACGTACAGACAATGACGAACTTAAAGTGTTTCAAAGAAGTGAAATTTTTTTCCAACTTCCAACATTAAAAAAAATTCACGTGTAATTTTATACACTTTGTTCATATATCGTATTATTATCAACAAATTATATACAATAACAACAAAATATGTATTAATTAAAGAGTTGCGATTATTTGTCAAAAATGTTACATATGCGCTGTTTGTACCGTTATATAATAGTTATACGAGTAAAATATTTTGCACATTGTTTTCGTTACAACAAAAGGAGAGAGGAAAATGAAAATAAATAAGAAAAGTGCGGCATTACAATTAAATGAGTTCAACATCCTCACGCATGACTTGCGTTACGGCGAAGCAAACGCAACATAAAACACAATAAAATAATAAAAAACGTTAACTTTGGTTGCACCGAAGCTGTAATATCCTTCACAAATGCAAAGGTTCCTTACAAGAACTTGATTCCGATTGTTCAACTTATATAATATAGTGATTTGATCTGAACAATTTCTGCAAAGAAATCTCTACAGAGAATACATTGTTGTCTTAAACAATGACTCGTGCCTAATTTCGTGAAGATAGCTCGTCAAATAAGCAAATTTTCTATGCAAGCACTTTACTCCGATCGTAAAGTTTGTATGGCAACTATTTGCTATAGTCATCCGATCTATACAATTTCTTCGGATATTACTTAATTGCCTTAAATAATAATCCTCGTCAAATTTCGTGAAGATACCTCGTCAATTAAAAAAGTTTCCCATACAAGTACTTGATTCCGATTGTTCAGTTTGTATGGCAGCTATATACTTTAGTGGTCCGATATCGGCCGTTCCGACAAATGAGCAGCTTCTTGGTGAGCAAAGGGCAGGTGTAAAATTTCAAATCGATATCTTAAAAACTGAGGGACTAGTTTGTATATATACAGACAGACGGACATGGCTAAATCAATTCCATCACGCTGATCATTTATGTATAGATTTTATAGGGTCTCCGACGTTTCCTTCTGGGTGTTACAAACTTTGTGGCAAACTTAATGTACCCTGTTCAGGGTATAAAAACATAAAAACATGCGAAGTAGCGGTAAAGGTTCATTAGTGGCATTCATAAATACACTTAATAATGAAAATTATTAAAATAAATATGCGTGTATTTATTTAATTTAGGGAATTATTTTGTTGTATAATTCACGTGGCAAAAATGTATAAATATTGTGTGCGACGAAAACGGTAGCGCCGCACTTCAATGAATTCAAATAATTGGTGGACTTTGAATGTGTGTTGGGTATGTGTAGTAGATTTGTGCCACAGTGGATTCGATTGGTATAATTTCAGGCAATACTAATTTGTAAAATTATTTAGAGACTATTCTTTGAAAAAAATAAAGAGTATTTCGCAGAAGAATAATATATAAAAGTCAACTAGAAGGTCGGAAATCATTATATCTAGTGTATTTGGGCTAGGAGAAGGTCTGGACTAACTGCGTTAACTTGTGGCATTACGCAATTTTATGAAATAACACACATATTAACAACATATTGGACATAAAGTCTGCTAAAATAACGAAAATTATTATACGTAGTATATGGTTACCACAGCTACAGTGGTCAGCTTCGTTTACCATATTCTGGATTAAATTATAAAATATTCTATATTATACGTTCGCTTAATTTTGATAACTTATGCTACATATTGACCGATATATACAGTATAGAAGCAACCGGAAGTTTGGAGTCCTTATATTGGGTATATGTTTTTTTATAACCAAAAAAATTTGTTTAATAAATTTCATTAAGAAATATAAAATATAAGGTATAAAATCAACCGGAAATTTGAAATTTTTATATTGGCAATATGAGGGCTAGGGGTAGTACAGATCCGATTTTATCTATTCTTGGCATTACGTTATATTATCACTATGTATGCGGTATAAAATCAACCGGAAGTTCGAAAATCTTTATATTAACATGGGGCCTAGAGAAAGTATGAACCGGTTTTATGCGTTTTTGAAACCAAGGTAAATTATTATCATAAAAAATATTTTTTCTAAAGTTTATCTCACAGACTGACCAATATTTTCGCTAAAAAGTCAGCAATAGGCACTGAGGTCCACGTCTTCGGCATATGGGTGCTTGATAGTTAAGATACGATTATAAAAAATTTTAGACTTGGGAAAGCATATCAGTAGGACAATATTTTTGCAAAGTTTTACCGCAATATATTTTGTGGTGCTTGATTTGTATACGGTAAAGTGGAAGAATCATATGAAATTTCAAATTGTGTTCTATTGGATTTAGGAAAGGAAATAGGCGTGGTTGTCCAATTTGAATACCGGCTTCTATAAGGCCCTTCCGTACCATCTTATTTGTAAAATTTAATGCTTCTGACAGAAGCTTCAGACTCCTGATCAATTTTATACCTATATATATAACTCAATATCTATGTTAATTTTGAAGTACTACAAACAACCGTTAGGTCAACAAAAATTTTGAATACTTAACTATATAATTACTGCCCCACTGTGCGCTATTGCGTGTCATTTAGGGAAAGTGTTTGTTGCTCATATACATACAAACTCCTTTCATTAAAGATTGATTGATATAAACATTTACAGTTATTTTGAAAAATATTAGTTCAAAATATGTGCAGTTATTTTCGGTTATTTTTGGCTATAACATGGGAGAAAGAAAAGAAGAATAAGAAGAAGAAGAAGAAAAAATAATATTAAGGCTGTTCAACATGCCAACATCTATTGTATATACTTTTTCTTCCTTGTAAAATATAATAATAACATTATTTTCATATTCATCACTTCAATTACTTACTTACAGTACAGATGGTGCTTATTTGTTATAAAAAAACGCGCAAATTTCATTTGATCATTCGAGCATTTTAATGTTGCATGCTGCTACCGCTGTTGCATGCATGAAAACCGCACATAAATTAGGTGCTCGTTAAATTTCAATGTGAAACGAAAGCGAAATCAATAACAAATTTCATAAATCATAAAACTTTCTTCGCCACATGCGCTGGTTATATAAGGGTTAGTAAATAGTTGATATATGGTCATAAATAAACGATTTTTAAGCCGCATTTCAATGGCATGCAGAACACATTTATATACATACATAAACATAAATATATACAACATATTTACCAGCAAGTATTGTATCTATAGTATATACATATATTTGTATGATATTCATTCAGAGTAGTTCGAAAAAATGTTAGAGTAATTAACTGCCTTGTAAATGGCCCAAAGAGCAGCGGAAGCAAAACGATTAAGATAATTTTTATTCAGCTCGGCTTTCAAGAGCTTTCAGCAGGCATTTCTATATGATTTCCAATAGTTTTTGTTCAAACGGAAATATAAATTTGCTTTCGATTATTAAGATATACGAATTAATTAGTAATTATAAAAACAGTTATGCATCTGATTAGTTACTGGTTTTTGGGTAATATTTTGGGCTGATTTTTTTTTATTCTTGTAATTAGTAAACTGAAATAATTACTTCAAGCTGTCTAAAAACTATTATTGATCTTTGATAGCCATTTTACGTACATATATTAAGTAGATGCCCAAATGATTAATTGTTAGGCACCACGAGCGTTTACAAGCGAGATGTAAATTTATATGAGTCCTAATTAAATTTCCAGTAATGTTAATTTCTTTTTCAGTAATGTTAATCTGTTTTCCAGTAATGTTAATCTGTTTTCCAATATTGTTAGTTTGTTAGAATTCGATAATTATATTAATAATTAATATTTTTCTAAAAAAAACTTCGTAGACCAGTGCAGAAGCCTTTGGAAGTGGTAAACATTGTTAATAATTGAAGGAAATCCATAGTAGCTTGAAACTTATTGGAAACGAATGATAAAATAACAAAAATGAAATGAAAAATAAGTTACCGCTGTATACACTGTACTTTTTTATTTCAAATATTAAGGAGGAAACCTTATTTCTACTTAAAATTTAAAAAAAACCCTAAGTTTCAATCAAAAGTTCTCACATCAATTTTGTAGATATTTTTAAAAAATCAGTAAGCTTTTTCTTACTTTTCTACTACTTTCAGATAAAAGATAAAAAATAAAAGGACCACACTAAACTGCTGCAACTACGAAATAATAAGTAGCCGAAATTGAAAAAAAAAATTGAATTCCTTAAAAAATATTGAAGCATATAAAATATCAATACATCTTATTTTTCCAAAAAATATTTTAATCGAAAAAGTCAGATTTCTACTCTTTCCATGCTCCTCATATATAAATTTGTTAACCTTATAAAATTTCTAAACAGTTTAAAAGCTGGTACGGCAGCTTGAACGTACCTACCCGACGCCATTTCGAGAATGATTATTTCATGTGCCCACACAAAAAATTTTGCCAATCTTAATGGCAATATATTTGACAGATGCTTGGCAATGGCTATTGCCTGTGGCGATGCGGCATAAAGCGACTACAGAGTCGGTCGCTTAAAACATCCTTTCAGGCTTAACTTCTTGCTTAACATCTGTGATGAAATACATTCTTTTACATTTTTCAGAAGTTTCCAGCGGTAATTTTTTTATCTTTCTAAGGTGTAATTAGAATATATTTCTCCAACTAATAATAATAAATGTTTGTGTTCAACTATTTCGACGTTGTTATTGTTTGGTTTAAAAAATAACTTTTTTGGGATTCATTCCTAAAATGTCTGGGATAAGGATTTTCTGAAAAGCCATATATATTCTCATTAAAGTTTGAAACCGTGCAGATGTACAAATTAGAATATCATAGACTTCACATAAAATGAAAAGTTAAAGTGCTTTTATAATGTAAAGCATTTTTTGGGATTTTCTCAAGATATTTTTGAACATAAAAACGAAGCTCTAGTTTGAAAAATGCGATTTTTATAAATTACCGAATTTTTCAAGAGTTCACCAGACATATCTTAATATCTTTTTAACAATTAGGCAATGCATAAAACGAAATATGTTTTTAAGTAATTAAAAGCGAGATATGAATTTTTTTTTATCTGGTATTAAGAACAAATAACCGTTAGGCGAAGGAACTTCCCATTACAAGTAAGAGCTCATACTTGGACAGTTTTTTTAGAGGTGGTTATCAACCAATTTTGCAAAGTATGAAGCGAATAAAAACATTCGTTTTTTTACCCACCTCAATATATGTGATATACATCTATAGCATTTTGCCAATATAAATGCACTACTTCACAATATGGAGACAAAAAATGCTTGCATATAATTTTTAGACTAAAAACCGAGTTATATTATTAATTATAATAATAATTATATCTAATTATATTTTATAATTAATTACACCTTTTTCATTTCATTTACAGTTATTTTACTCACCATTGAAGCGGATTTTTGTTTCGCAAATGCGCGATGATGCGCCGAAATCGGTTCACTAGCCACACTGCCAGCATCCATATTTGTTATCGAGTACAGTCGTTAATGTTCACAAGTTTTGTATTCAAACATAACTGAAAATAAGCAAAAGCAAAACAAAAAATTTGGTGAGTACAATTTACAAATAATTTAAAGTTTCAGAAAACAAAAAAAAAAAAAATTATAAAAATAATAATTAACGTTTGGAAAGAACATAGAGAAATCTTATAATTAAAACAAACGCATTTATTATTATTTTTTTTTTAATAAACATCTTTCCGAAAAAAGCCAAAAAAAAATCTGAATTATTATAAATATATGCATAAGTAGTGAACAAGTAGTGAACAGCATGCAACCGCATAACATTTTTATTTGCATTAATTTCGATTCAGTTGCCTTCGAATATGCAAATGCGCTTGCACCTCCCCAAAAATGCATTGCTACCCCTTGTAACTGTAATACTTTTTCCGCCGCATGTAATATGAACGCCTAGTATCGCATAGTAGCCGCAAGACCGCTAGAAACGCTCACATTACCTTTGCATTACATTTGCAATTACAGCTGTATGTAAAATGTGTGTGTGTGTACTTTCAGGCTACGCACAATGGGGTGCGTTTTGTGCCGCTATTTAATATATTTTTACTATTATTATATATATATTACTATTTAATATTATATTTACATAAAATATATATTTATATTTCTTCATACAAAGTGATATTGCAAATGCAATATTTTTCGCTTCACCGTTATTATCAGCATTACTTAGTGTAGAGTGTTAATTATAGCCTGGAGTGTGGGTAATGGACCGTTAAAGATTTGCGTTGAAATGTTGAGCTGTATATTTAGGTTTTGCTACAAGTTTGATTGTTTGAGTGATGAGAATTAGATGCGTTACGTAGGTTGCCTTTTATATTTCAGGATTAGAGAACAAAAAAAAAATTTTTAATAATCGAAAATCGTTTTATTGTTTTTTATACATTAATATCTATGGTGTACACCTTTGCATGCGTTTGAACCAATTGTCGAAGCACTTTTGCCACTCTGATTGAGGTGTGTCCAAAACATGCGTTCTGAACGCGTCAACCGCTTCTTCAGGTGTCGAGAAACGTTGGCCTCTTAGTTTATCTTTTACGTACGGTATTAAAAAGCAATCATTCGGTGCCAAGTCAGAACTATACGATGAATGACGCATCAAATCGATGTTTTGAGTGCTTAACAAAGTAGTTGTTTCAGTCGAGTGTGAGAGCTCGCATTATCGTCCTGAAGAGTTATACGTCTTTGGCGGTTAGTTTTTCTGATTTCTTGAAATACAACTAGCAAACAAATGGTTATGTATCAGAATGTACTGTTCTAGTGGTATGGTTGCGACAAGTCCAATTTTTCCAGAAAAAAAAACCAGCAATCATTTGCTTGGAGAAATTGAATGTATGCTGGTTCCACTAATACCTATAGTTGTCTTTATCTTACGATAGGTCATGTGACGATCTGGCAATTTGAGTTTGCGCACAGCATCAAAAGTTTCCAGAATAACAACTGATTTTGCATTGCCTTCACGAAATTCGTCTTGGAGTGATCTACAACCTCGCTTGAATTAACCATACCATCGATAAACAATGGTGTTAGATGGAGCTTCATGGTCAAAAATAGAATTAGGTACATCGATGCACTGTTGCTGAGTTAATCCACGTCGAAAGTTGTAAAAAACAACCGCACGAAATGTTCACGTTTCCGTTTCTTGGCTGAGATGAATATTTTAAGTTACTGTAAACAACACAAATAGCGCTCGTATGTCAAAACGTTCTGAGTATGTATACTATCAAAGCTGTCAAACTTTACAATAAAGTTGTGTGTTGACAGATTGCAACACACGGATTGCCAAATCTCGAAATATAAAAGGTAAACTTCGTCGGTTTGTGTTGGATATGTTTTTCAAAATGTTTAAATGCTGTTTATTGTATAGTAAATTCAGTTAATGAAAGGAAACAAATATTAAATAAGGACAGTGCAGTTAAAAAGTAGTGTGGTAAGAGAGTCGTGTTCTCGTATTTTTGTTTAGAAGTTTGTGATTAATTTAAATCTAAAAGAACTTCTAAAAACTTTGTATAAATATTCAATATTTTAATCAGATATTTTGGAAAAATTACGAAGCCATTTTTTATGCGTTACAAAAAGCAAGTTGAAAGTAATTTAAGTTTGCCACTGATTTGGGGTATTTCTAACCCGTCTTTTTTTCTTGAGCCAAGGGTAGCTGATATTTTCATTTAAGGTTCTTACAGTTTTGGTCGAAATTCGGCGTGCTTTTGTGATGATAGACTTGATCTTATTCGCTAATTAGTCTGGTAGGAATATCTTTTGGGTTTTATAAGAACTTTTTTTATGTTAGAAATGCGCTTGGAGCTCCTTGCCTTCTGAGAAACGACTTCTGTTGGTATGGTTATATGTTTTATCTTAAATCTTATTCTATTCGGATGGTACGCACTCAGTTAGTCATTCGGGTATTTACCATATAATGTTCAGTTCGTAATTTCATTAGTTGTTTAATGCTTCTAAACTAAGGTTTTAATGAATCATACCAATTGTGTTAGTTCGAAGGGGAAATACACACAATTTGTTGCTGGTTGAACAGTGTAAATATACATTTTTGCATACAAGTAATTAAAATGTGCAATTAACAATTAAAATTGCATAATATATTACAACGTCAGTTAAATAAAACGTCAAAGGTTAAATGCATATATTCAAGCATATCTTCAGGGTTGCCATTTTATGCCCATAACTGTTTCTGCATAACAGTGTGACATTGGTGACATATCGCAAGGCAAATGCAAACATATTATTCGTTGTTGCTCCCTGCAACTGTGGCAATGAATGGACTGCTTTGTTGCGGTGACAGTTACATTGGTCGACATGTTATGCCGTACAACTTATATGCGCCACAAAAAATTATTAGTTGAAGAAAGAAATAAAAAACTTAAACGAAAAAAATAAGGTTGTACATGAACACGGCCAAGTCAATAGAGAGATAACTTTAATGTGGACATCGCTTGCTGCCGCCAAAGGTATGTTGAAGGGTAGGGTGTGGGTAAAAACATGCATTAGGTAATGCAACACCGGCTCATTAAAAGTGAGCAAACACCGCATGCGAGCGCTCGATGTGGCATTTTGCGGCAACACACAAAGCCACTAAACAATCGCGCGGATTATCTTTCACCTGTTGTTTACTCGCTGAGCGGCCGACTGCCTGACAAGATGCTACGCGCCGCAGTCACTTGCGTATTGCTGGCGTTGGTGTGGACTGTGGTTGATTGCTGTAAGCTACACATGTGTATTTTAGCTGGCACGGGTGGCGCTGCACAGAAGCGTTGACGCGGCACCTGAGCTGGCAAGTTCAAAAGCGGTGTAATGCTGTGGCGCAAATAAATTTCATTTTGGTAAATAATGCGGGCTTATTTTATGTTTATCTTTTCATTTTTGTTTTTGCTTTGTCGTGATTAATTTTTAATGTGACAAATTAGTTGCTGTGTTACTTCAAAGTTATAGCCGCTTAGATGCATCTAATTTTAGACTTTTATTAGCTTTAATATAATCTCAATGAAAACCAATTGAAAAATTTATATAGTTGTATAATTAAGGGATAGGCCAGTTCAGGATATTCAAACAAATAATATAGTATAATGGCCTAAGCTATATATGTACATATAGGTCTTGAAACATAATTCAGTCAAACATAAATTTCAATACCATGCTAGTGCCAAACTTTTGGGTCAGTTAACTATTACTTTAAATTTGTTTTTCTTGAAACTGCATATTTTTAATCGAGCATGATGTTAATAGGAGACTATCGCGCGTAGCCACTGAGCTTTAATCTAATCTTTCTGCTTGGTTTTTATAGTCACCGATATGTATGAATCTTTCTTTTTGTAAATAATTGAATATATTGGATGCGTTATAGTATAATGTCTCATATTCGATAAATCAGTTTAATAAGAGCTTTGATCATCATAAATAATAATCGTAATTTCAGCTATTAGCTCAGCTTGTTTCCAATAAATTATTATAATAATTATTATTAAATTAACACAATATATATATATATTTTTGTAATTTGATTGTCTACTTTGCAGGCAAAAAAGTGATCTATGATCTCACTTTTATGCTCTTGATCGTTCTGTAACTTACAAATATTATAATAATTTTATTCATGAAATTATGCATTATTTTAAGGTATATAGATTTAAGTATCAGAGAAATCGTATTGTAGACGTTAGGATATACAAATTTGCGATCTTCTACTACTACCTAAGCTAGAGTAAAAAATTTTAAAGATAGCTTTCAACCAAACAATAAGCGCTCAAATGTTCTTACAAACAGCCCGCTTTATAAACCACTTGAAGTGAGTCATTATTATAACGGTTCCACGATCAACCCAGACGTTATATATAATACTTTTATCGGATATATTTTTATCAGTTTACTGGCAAAAAATTATGGCTTGAATGAGAGGTTAGGGACTGAAGTTATTGCCAAAACTGACTTTCGTTGTAGTGTTGTGATACTGTTTACTTTCGAACGATTTCTCATGGCAATTATCATCAATTTCACAAATTTGGTGCATAATATAATGTTGAAATGTGCGATCGAACTTAAATCCCTATTTCCCATATAATACAATATTAACTTCCATACGATTCACATAAATTAGTCAACCACCAGTGAAGACATAGAATCAAACTTTTTGTAAATAGTGCATTCAAGGCTTGACATCTATGTGTCTGCTAGAACTATCAAAGAATTAAAAATTTCAAACCTACGTATCTTGACACCTATGTATCTGATAAGAACTATGAAATCGGTAAACAATTTTCAAACCCTATATACCGAATATGAACACTCAGTGCTGACTTTATACCGGAAATATCTGTCAAAAGTGAAAGATATTTTATTGTAATAATTTTCGCATCATTTCCTTGTAATAATCTGGCCTGGTGTCAAAAATATATAAACTCGGTTCAGTGTTAGCCCCCATATACCTAATACATACTTATAAACATTTTCGAACTTCCGGTTGACGTTATACCATATATATCTGTCA